TCCCTTTCCCTAGAATTTCCTTTTAAAATTACCCACCACTAAACTCCTACTCCTCCCTTTACACTCAGCTCAAATAATCCCAGTCCAAGATATAAATGCCATGATTGAGAGGAGAAGACAGTAATTACTTCTGGGAAGAGAGAGAAGAATCTAAGCTGAGCCATTTAAAGTTTTTTTTTTCTTATTTTTGAAATTGTGAGATACAACATATACACAGAAAAGGAATTAGACAAATGTGTTTAGCTTAACACATAAAGACAACACTTACGACGAAGAGTGTGTAATTAGTACATTGACAACATCCAATCACAAATGACTCCTTCCCTTTGTTGAGACCTGTACCCTGACTTTCAGAATGACAAACTCTTGTTTTTCCTTAGGCATTCCTAGACAATACAGTTTAATTTTGCCTGTTTTTGAGTCTCATATAATCATATAGTAGATGTAGTTATGTGTCTGGCTTCTTTCATTCAATATTATGCTTGTAAGATTCATTTATAGACTGGTATTAAACTATCTGTCATTTTCATTGTTGCATAAAATTACATTAAAAAAAGATACAACAATTTATTAAATTATTCTACTGCTGATGGACCTTGGTTGTCTCAAATTGGGGTTCATTATGAACAATGTCCATAAGAAACATTGCACATGTCTCCTACATCACGTGTGCACAGATTTCTCTAGTTTTTGTAGAAATGGAAAACCTGAGACACGAGCTTTATGTATCTTCAACTCTTTTAGGTTAAGTTGAACTGTTTTGCAAAGTGCTTGCACCAATTTACACACTCTCCAACAGTGCATGAGAGGTCTTGTTGCTTCTCATTTTTGCCAATTCTTGATGTTCGTTGGTCTCTAAAAGTTGTGCAGATGTGATAGATGTATAAAGGCATTTCACAGTAGATTTCATTTGCATATTTCCATGATTACTAATTAGGCTGTGCACCCTTTTATATGTTTATTAGTTATTCAGATTTCCTCTTTTGTGAAGTACCACTTCAATTCTCTTACCATTTTCTATTGTGTTGTCTATTTCATATTGATTTGTAGAAGTTAAAAAAATCTTTGAATATTAGACTTTTGTTGGATATAAGTGTTGTTTTTTCCCCCAGTTGTGGGGATCCAATCCAGGGCTTTATGCATTCTCAGCAAGCATTCTAATACTAAGCTATACTCCCAACCCTTATGAGTGTTTTAAATATTTTCTTTTACTCTATAGCTTGATTTTTAACTCTTAAGATATATTAGATATTTAACTCTTAAGATAATTAACTGATATTCTAGATTTCAAGGTAGTCTAAGTCATTGTCTTTTACTTATTAGCTAGATATGTATGTATTTCTCTTTATTCTAAAATCTTAATAGATTTTCCTTTCACATTTTGATATACCTGGAATTGATTTTTGAGAATGGTTTTGGTAGGAGTCTATTTTTTTTTCCTTTTGAAACACAATTGTCCCAGCATCATTTATACAAAGATCCTCTTCTGCACTGCTAAGCTATCCCATCTTTTCCATATTTTAAGTGTTCATATATACGCTTGGGCCAATTTATTTTTGCTATAGATTCTCAGCAAGGTTGTATTGCAGTCTGAAATGTACACTTTATCCTTTTTGTCTTTTGAAAACTTTTGGAATCTTATTCTTTAGCTAGGCTCATGAACTATTTTTGTAAATGTTCCTTAGGTACTTGAATATGTGTTTTGCACTTAGTTGATAAATATTTGCACAGTATACAAATTTCTGTTCTTTTATTTTTGTCTTTTTGCTAACCTGAGGTTTTAGGTATATCCCTTGGTAAACATCATTTATTTGAATTTTTAGAGTCCTACCTGACATTCTTTGTCTATATTCTGAAGTATTTGGTCCATCCATTTACATTTAATGTAACTATTAATATATTGTTGTACAATATTATATATTGATGTACAAATATACTATGTTACTCTGTCTTTTCCACTTGTTATTCTTGTTCTACATTTCATATTTTCTTCCTTTTTACCTTACTTTTTTAAACTGGTGGATTGTTTCTTAGCTGATTTTCCCCATCCTAGTTTTGAAATTATAGACTCTGTTTCTGTTTTGTTAGTGACAACTCTAGTAATTAAGTAATTAAGTAATACATTCTTAACTTACCAAAGTCTAACAATAATGAAAACATTTTTTCTATCCTTCCATATAATAATAAAGTTTATGAACCTTACCCTATTTATGTCCTCCCAACTACCTGATATTATTGTCTGGGATTTATACAGTGCTGTTGATGTTTTCGATGGGAGGAAGGATTTAAATAATCTACCCTTATCACTACTGGAAACCTTGGAATTGCTTTTTAATTAATTTATTTAAAAATGTTGGGCTGGGGATGTGGCTCAAGCGGTAGCGCACTCGCCTGGCATGCGTGCGGCCCGGGTTCGATCCTCAGCACCACATACCAACAAAGATGTTGTGTCCGCCGAGAACTGAAAAATAAATATTAAAAATTCTCTCTCTCCCTCTCTCTTTCTCTCCTCTCTCACTCTCTCTTTAAAATAAAATAAAATAAAATAAAAATAAAAATGTTCAACCTGTGCTCAACTCTAAACTGAGTGTCTGTGTATTTTCATCCCCAGGACTTTGGAAAGTGACTTGACCTTGTTTTAAAGCAAATGCTTTAGTATACCAGGTTCTCCCTCTATTCACTCTCCTAGGTTGACTGAATGTTCTTGAATGGACTTTGCCGTCCATGTCTAGGTGCAACATAGTTTAGTGGCATTAAAAAAATCAGGGCAGAGTTTATGATGGTAGCATTTATTAAAGAACCTGCAGGTCAGCACCATTGTTCTGTTTTTTTCATATTCATATTTTTTTTGTCTCCATATTCTGGGAAGAAGGGTTCTAGTGCCATCTCTGATGGTGAGGTTGATGATGTACCTTTGGCTTTCCATCTTCCTTGGATATCTCAGGTTTGCTGCCCTGGATATATAATTCCTATCTTGTAATCAAACCCCTGGGTAAACTTTGGAACTGAATCTAGTGAAATTTTCAACAATAATCTAGCATTTGCATTGGATACATTTCCAAAAGCTCCGAGTAATGCAAGATCTATTGTGTCCCTTTTCTAATGGTTCCCATTATAATTTGGGAAATGCATGTGTAGGGGAAAAAATTGTAGAGTATATTAGTTTCCTAGAGTTGCTGTAACAAATTATCACCAACTGAGTGGCTTACAACAGAAATTTATTCTCATATTTCTGGAGGCTAGACATCTAATATCAAAGTATTGTCTGGGCTTTTCTCTCTTTGGAGTCTCCAGGGGCGAATCCTTGCCTTCCTCACCTCCTCCTAGCTTCTGATAGTTACTGGAAATCTTTGCCATTCCTTAGTTTTCAGCTTCATCTGTCTTCACATAGCTGGCTACTTTGTGTGTGTTTCTGTGTTTCACATTGTATTCTTCTCTGACCAAACTTCTCTCATATTATATCACCAGTTATTGGATTAGAGTCCACTCTAATCTAGTATAACCTCATCTTAATTTGATTATGCCCCAGAAGACCATATTTCCAAATTAAATCACATTCACAGGTACCAAGAGTTAAGATTTCAATATATTTTTTTTGGTGGGGGACACAATTCTACCTACACCAAAGGGCAAAAGATGTGATAAGTATGCCTTTGAGAATAATATTATCTACTTAGTAAAACTAGTCTGATGGCTGAATACATTTAATGATTGCAGCTAACACTATAAAAATAAACCAGTCCCCAAGCTCTCTGTCTTCCCAGCTATCTTATAAACACTTGAGCTATTATCATTTCAGTTGATGTTTTAAGTGACCACATGGGATTGAGATGCTGAAGAAGCTGTATGGTCAATACCTGGGCATCCTGGTTCACTGACATTAGGGAGGAAGGGCCATTTGATTGAAATTGTCTTTCACATACAAACCTAATACCAGAGGATAGCTACTTTGGGATGCTAATCCAGCACCATCTTATTTTGTATATGTAGGTGTTGGCAACCTCCGACAAGCAACTTGATAGCCTTTAGCTTCTGATGGGTCAACTGTGAGAAAACAGTAAACCCCAGAAAATTTGCTTTCAAGAGGCATATCCGATGGATCAACCTCTATGCTTTGTAATTGTACCATTGGAAAATTTCATAAAATGATCAAATATATGTCCAATTAATTGATCTGATCTTTGTGATCGTGGCTGGGAATATCCCAAGTGTTAATACAAGACAAGATCACAGCTATTGTTAAGGTTCATTATGTCCTATGTAGTCACATGAACTCTTTGTTGTCCTTCATCTGCCTAAATATAATACCCTTACTAAATAACTCTTACTCCATTCACTGCATAATTCCAATTCATCTATTGGGACTTAACTCCTCTTTTATCTCATGTCTGCCATATAATAGGACTTTAATAACATTTGCAGATGAATAAAAAGAACTACTGGCCATACCTTTTATTTACCAGATCATCTTTCTCAAAATGTCCCTTTTCTTTTGGTTATACTAATTATGAAGTACTAGTCCCAAGGAAATATAAATACCTTCCTTCTTAAAATCTGATATGAGACATAAAAAGGCTCTGGAATGTATCCAAAAGCTGCCTTGGTAGCCTCATAGCAGAAAGATCTGACCATGGGAATAGAGAGTGTTTTCCCATCTCAAGGGGACAGGGCACCACTGAATTATACAACACAATATTCAAAGGCTGTGCAAAACTAAATGTTTCCCACTCCCACTGATTTTTATATTCGGGAAAAAGGTTCACAGGGGAAAGAACTTAGCTCTGGTCAGCCAGGCAATTGGTGGAAGAGTTAAGAATAGAACCAGACCCTCTAGATTCCAGGACAGTGCTCCCTCCTGCCCTCCCCAGCCTCAAACTCATAGTACAAAATATCGGGATCCCTGAAAGTGAGGGAGAAATGACTTATAATGCATGTCAGTATCACATTAAGAAACCAATCAAGAAAAAGTGATGATTTAACATATGACATCAGTCTTGACATACTTTTAAAAATATTAGTTTTAATTAGAGATCTCAAAGGTATTTCATGGCATAGACCACAGGTGTTAGTCTGGGTTGGAGAAGTTGTCCAGCAGCTCTCAACATGCAATCATGCAAAAATCCTAAATAACTGCACATCTCTATGTGGTATTTGCAGGAAGGCAACCTTAGACCTTCAGCAGTGCCCTTGCCATATCTTTGAAAGTTCTGGTCCTGAGAAATTTGTCTAGGTAGATAAAATCCCTGGTCACAACTAAAATAAATAGACCAGTGACATTTTCCTGACAGTAAGAGAACCCCATCATTGGATATTGAAATTCAGAAGTAAAGTCAAAGTAGAGATACTCTTGGCTTCTGGACTATGGTTGTACGGAGACATTTTCAAAGGTAGGCACCAGCTACATTCCCTGCCAGTTCTGACATTGTGACCAGTGACATGCATTGGTGAGGCTGTAGCTGGGGGCCATCTGTCGTGGGAAAGTTATGGCAGCCAAGGAACACATCAGAGCTGGACATGCCCAGCTGGAGTATCCTCACTCAGGGTCAGGTGCAGTCACCTCCTTACTGGTGGCTTCATCTTCATTTTTCATTGAGCTGGATGTGCTCATGTTGACTCTGTCACTGAGGCCTCTAGTGACGCTGTCATAGGATGGCGGGAAAGATGTGGCAGATGCAGTTTCAAATTTGTCTGGAAGGACACAATTCTCATTTGCCATAAATTCCACAAAGCCTTCATCTGGGTGTGACAAAGCCTCCTCTTCAGTCCTGGGCACTCCAGAGGGGTTGGAGAGTGTCAAGGAGCGATAGAGCACATAACTCCGATAAGCTTTTTGAATGACAGTGGCTGAAATGTCTTCTTGTTTCCACCGGAGGGTGGTTGCTATTGGCTCATAGGACGCTTTTGAAAGATTAGTTGCCATAAACTTCTCCTCCATGTTTGCCTTTAGTGAATCCAACTCTCCAGATTCTCCCAGCACGTTCTTGGTGAAGGCAAAGAGGATGTCCAAACAGTGGATCTTATCTCCAGGGACCAAGGGCATGTCCATCTGGATTAATATTTTCTGATTGGGTTTTGGGATTCTCAAGGGGCCTGAGAGAGTGTCTGCAAAGTCTGAGAGGGCAGAAAAGGTAATGAACTGGGTGGCTTCCGGGTCGAATTTCTCCCAGGTCTCATAGAACATGTCGAAATCGTCCTCACTCAGGGGCTCTGTGCTCTCCTCTGTGGCTACATTGAAGTTCTCCAGAATCACTGCAATGTACATGTTGACCACGATGAGGAAGGAGATGATGATGTAGGTGGTGAAGAAGACGATGCCCACGGCTGGGTTCCCACAGTCTCCTCTCGTGCTATTGCCATTGGGCAGATTGGGGTCGCAGTAGGGGGGCTCTGTGTTGAGGATGGGGCTGAGGAGGCCATCCCAGCCGGCTGACGTGGTGATCTGGAAGAGGCACAGCATGCTGTTGGCGAAGGTCTGGAAGTTGAACATGTCATCGATCCCGGCCTCCCACTTGACGTAAGCAAAGCTGGACATGCCGAAGATGGAGTAGATGAACATGACGAGGAAGAGCAGCAGCCCGATGTTGAAGAGGGCAGGCAGGGACATCATGAGGGCAAAGAGCAGCGTGCGGATCCCCTTGGCTGCTCGGATCAGTCTGAGGATGCGACCGATTCGGGCCAGGCGGATGACTCGGAAGAGTGTGGGAGAGAAGTAATTTTCTAGTGATGTAAGAATCGCAGAAAACACTAGACCTTTGAAAGAGGGAGGAAATTATCTAATTAGTATCTCAACCATGAGCCCTGACCAAGTTGGATGTAAGCACATTTCCTCATCTCTTCTCAGTATGAACTTCCTCTCGGTTATCCACATTCGAGGACACTGGGCCCCTGTGAACCCGGCAGTAAATGTTCACTGCCTTAATCCTCCCTTCATCAAGTTGATCTTACCCTTCTCACCATGTTCTTATCTTTTTCCTCTACTTAGAACAACCTCTTTAAAGTCAGTCTCCAAGGTCGACACCCCATGCTCTGCAGTATTGTGCACTATGCCCACAATACTTTATTTCCAATATGACACAGACCTGCTCTCCTCTGAGTTTTCAGCTTTGGCCATCCTCATTCCTCCTTCTTGGTCCCGTGCTGTGGGAAGGCTGGGACCCCCTGTGATTCATCTCCTTATATCCTGCTGTGAAAATTGACTCAGTTCCTGGCACATGGTCCCATAGATAATTGTATGGAGCCTGAGGTTAATTATAAGGGGGAGCAGGAGTTGGGCAACTTGCTGACAGCTAAAGCAGAATGGCTTTGAATGCCCAGCTGTCTGCATAATGGTTTTAATTTCTTTCTTTCACTTCCAGCTGTGCTTGAACTCTATGAGAACCTAAGGATGGGCTTTTTAGGGTCAGCTACTGCCCCCAACCCTAACTATGAGAAAGGTTGAAAAGATGATGAATATATATGTCCCCTTACATGATCTTGAACATGAAGATTTTTGAAGCTTGGGTAATTGGGACCAAAGACCTCCACTGGGAATCAAGCAAGGCCTTTAGGGTAAGAGGATTCAAAGGAGGTAGAACCAATTTCTCACTCCTCACAGGATTCCCTTGACCCTCTTCCCTGCTATCCTTTGTTGTATGCAGATGGGTGGCCATGATATTGTGTTGAAGGAAACTGGAGGGAACTTAGGAAATCATGATAATTCTGGATTATAAAAACTTTGCAAAAACTCTTACAGTCTAGTTTAACTGGGGCATTTTTTAAATATAGGTATATTATGTGTCTATATAATCTATTAAAAATTTCTGCCAGACAACTGTCTACATCTTAGTTTTAATTTTTCCAGTACCTTATTTCAGGGTAGAATGAGTCCTCATACTTACAACAGTTTGACACTCAGTATGTGTCTTTATGGTGGGAAGGAAGAAAGGGAGGCAGGAATGAGGACAGAAAAGTTAAAGGTAAATTCTTCACTTGTCTTTTAAGTTCTCTGAGAGATTTCTTCCTAAGGAGCTGCTGTGTTGGCCTCAGAAAATGGTAGCTTAAGGTGTCCTCTTCATAGAACTAAGTATGGTAGGTGTATTTTATTTCTAAATTACTGATATGGGAAGTTACATAAGCAAGCTCCTTTCTCTAATATAAAAGCAAAATGGACTTTCAAATATCTCACTTAAGAAGGCCAACAAAACAAAACAAAACAACAACAACAAAAAACCCAAACAACCAACAACAAAACTCTTGTTATTCTAAGTGAGATAAGCCTGAGATGTTATTTAAGAGTATTTAGCAATCAACTACTAACTAAGTAACGTGGGAGAAATTTTTGGAGGCAATGGATATGTTTATGGCATTGATTGTGGTAATGGTCTCATGAGTATATATTTACCTGCAGATGTTTTAGATTATATACATTAAGTATATGTAGCTTTTTTGTATGTCAGCAGTACTCAATAAAATGCTTTTGAAGAAACAGCAGCAATAGAAAACAAAACAAAACAAAAATGAATTTAAACCCTCCAAACAAATAAATGCAAACCAAGGCTATATTTCTGCACCAGGGTGGGAAGATTGATGAAATACTGCCAAGCTGTGTTTAGATGCTATTAGCTCTTGAGGGTAAATCAATGGAAAATTAAGTCTACAGCTATGCCCTGACATGAAAAGCAAGCAGGTCAGAATATAACTGATTGGGATATACTTAAAATGACAAGGGAAGCTGGGGAACTGGGATTTGGCTTTTATAGCATCAAACTCTGGCTAAACCACAAGAATTCCAGGGATAGTCTCTTGGATGTGGGTGAGAAGCAGCTAGTTAGAGGAACTTAGTCTTGATATTTATCCAAAATAAATGAAGTCAGCATAGTATGAATATACATGCATGCCCATATTTATAGGAATGCCATTCACAATAATCAAGTTACAAAACCAGCATAGATGCCTGTCAATGAATGAATGGATACAGAAAACATGCAAAAGATGCACAATGGAGTTTTAGGCAGCCATAAAGAAGAAAGCAATTAAGTCATTTGCAGCAAAATCGATGGGACTGGAGAATATCATGTTAAGTGAGATAAGGCAAAATCAAAGTCAAAGGTCATATGTTTTTTCCCTCATATATGGAAGAGAGAAAAAAAGAGGAGAAAAGAGAGATTTTCATCTCAGAAGAGAATAGAGGTTGGGGATTGGCAGGAGGATACAGTGAAAGGAACCAGGGGGTAAACAGGAGGTAATGGGCAATAAAATTGACCAAATTATATGTTATGTGCATATACAAACATACCACAGTGAATCCTACTATTATGAATACTTGTAATGCATCAATAAAAAAAAATAAAAGAACTTAGCCCAGTCAAAATTCAGCTCCATTCCTTACAAGCTCTGTGAATTTGTATAACTTTCTTAATCTCTGAGGCTCAACTTTAAATGTTTCAAATGAGGACAAAAATATCTTCAGCCCAGTGCTGAAGACTCAGTAGGTACTCAGCTGTTGTGGCTCTCTCCCCACATTAGCTTCTTACTCTACCAATTTTCTCTGGATACCGTTGGGTCCCCAAATACTGGGTCTTTCATTCAATGGTCCCTAGACTGGACCTTTGTAGCATTGATCTCTTGAAATTGATCACTTGACTTTTCTGACACTCATATTCTCTAAGAGGATAATTACATATAGATTTGACTTCAGACCCTCAATTTAAGAATCTTCTTTGAGGACTTAAAATCAGCCTACTACAGTGACGCAACCACATCAATGTTTATAGCAGCTCAATTCACAATAGCTAAACAACGGACCCAGCCTAGATGCCCTTCAACAGATGGATGGATAAAGAAAATGTGATATATATTCACAATGGAATATTAGCCTTAAAGAAGAATGAAATTATGGCATTTGCAGGTAAATGGATGGAACTAGAGAACATCATGCTAAGTGAATTAAGCCAATCCCCCCCAAAAAACAAAGGCTGAATGTTTTCTCTGATAAGTGGATGCTGATCCATAGTGCGGGGTGGGTAAGGGAAGAGTGAAAGAACTTTGGATTGTGCAGATGGGAGTAAGGGGAGGGGTGAGGCAGTGAGGATGGGAAGGACAGTAGAATGAGACAGACATTATTACCCTATATACATGTATGATTACAGACTGGTGTGACTGCATCATGCACAGCCAGAGGAATGAGAAGTTGTGCTCCATTTGTGTACAAGGTGTTAAAATGCATTCTACTGTCATGTGTAACTAATTTGAACAAATTAAAAAAAAAAGAAAGAAAAAACAAACAAACAAACAAGCAACATCAACAACAAAAAGAATGTCCTTTGAAGGATCTCCTTCTAGTCTTTCCCCACTTTGCTGGCAACCCACTTCCTTTCCCGGAAAGTATTTTACAAATCACTTCACATAACACCATCCACCCCAACTGCTTTGAAAACTATAATGGTAAGTCCCATTGGAAACTTCATCGTCTTAAGACTTAGGTGCTCAGGAGGAGTGATTGTTCCCTTAAGGTTCTGGCAATGGGCTGTGCATATAGTAGGTGACTGCAAACATTTCACCATAGTATGGAGAATACCAGTGGAGCCCTTCATTGTCCTGAGAAAGCATCCTAGGGGAATTTCAAATCTGCTGCTCTTGGAAGGCTGCACGAACGGGGCTTTTCTAACACACGACACCTATTTGAAGAATTAGTTGGTTGTCCTCTTGGTTTTAAAAGAGCAGCCAAAACATTCCCAAGCCGAGCTGGGCTTCCCTATCACGTGGCCGTACACTTACTCCCGATGGAGAGGATCACGACAATGAAGTCAAACACATTCCAGCCGTTGGTGAAATAGTATTGCCTCAAGGCGAACATCTTCAAGACGCACTCGCCCGTGAAGACAGCCACGAAGAACTGATTGATTTTGCCGAGGATTTTGGTCTTTTCTTCGCTCTGCTCATCTGTCTCCACCATCATGGTGATCATGTTGAGGCAAATGAGGACCATAATGGCAATGTCAAAGGCTTGCCTGGTCACGACATCAAAGATGAATCCCTGGTACCTGTTCTGAGGAAACCAAAGGTGGTGGCATCAGGACCTTTGTCCCCACATAAATCAAACATCGGGACGGCCTGACTTCTCCAGACATGAGTTTTAAAAGTCTGTCACCTTTGTCCCATTCACATTCCACCTCTAAACAGAAGCCACCTCTGTTCACAGTCTCACCTTTAGTTGATTCCACCTCACTGCCCTGTTCTAGTCCTCATCACCCTCCCAGATGTCCACCATCACCAGGTACCTCTTTTGTCCTCACCCACGATCTTCCCTCCCTTTGGAATGCTCTTCTAATGTCCCCTCTTGCTATCTCAATCCCAATACAGATTAAGCCATCTCTCCTAAGCCCCACTTCCTCCAGGGAGTTTGGCTTTATCACGCTACACCTGTCTCTTTGGCTTCCAGAGCCTTTGTAATCAGTCTTGAGCTAAGATTTCACATACGCCTCTCTTCTCTACCAGACAGTGAGCTCTTGGAGGACAGAGGCCATGCTTACTCAAACCTATGCTCCTGTAGTACCCCGTGCATAGCAACAGTTCAAGAACTGCTTGTAAGATTGTTGATTTGAGCTGCTCTGCTAAGTACAAAGTCAATTGCAATGGTTTGACCCACTCTTGGAAATGTTCCCTGAAGAGAACATTCTGGGGGTTTGTCAGATGTCTAAGCAAATGCAAGTGCAGGGCATGGGGTCAGGTTTCAGTCGTTTGCATTCTTGGAGGAAGGCAGAGTGGCCGGGGTAACCAGTAGATGATTTATATCCAGTTATCTTTATGATGGTTTTTAGAAAGTTCCTAGTGTGGCCCTCTCTACTTCCTGTTGGTGTTAACATTAATGCTCTGGGAGTTCTTGGCCCACTCTCATACTCCACCCCTCCCCTTTACCCAAGTCCTTCTCCTGACCTCTGTGGTGCTCACAGTCCTCAATCCACAAAAACCATCTTCCACTCAAAGGCAGTCATCCTCCTCCACCCCACGTGGCCCAGGGTAGGGATCAGGCCTGCGGTCTTCCTTGTTCCCCACGGTTCCTTCTCTTTGCTCTTCCTGTGTCTTGTAAAAAAGCCCTTTCTCCCTTGAAGCTCTGTCATCTAGCTGGTCCACCTTTACCTCTTCAAGACTACCACTTACCCACCTCCTGCTCCCTCTGCTCCTTTCCTAATAAATCAAGCTCTTGGTCATCCTTGCCCACTTTGGGCTATTATCCTAGGCATCTTTAATGTCCATGTAAATGACTCTTACTCTTTCTGTTCCTTGGACAATCTCTAATGATTTGGTTTTTCTTAACCTAAAACAAAATCCTCCTGAGCTTCCTACTCCAGGTCTCTCCTCACATGAACAACTGAAGTTTTTGAAACTGTCTCCCACTTACTCCAACAGAGCTTTGGCCCCCTGCCTGCCACCAAAATGGTTCTCACTAAGATCACCAATAACCTTCATAATGTTCAATGCAAGGACAGTTATTTGGCATTGCTCATGTCCCCTGCTCTGGGAAGCTCCCCTTTCTTAGTTTCCATCCATGTCTTACCCTCTTGGTTCTTGCCCTTCACATGGTTCTGTTTCAGTCTCCTTGACCAAATGAAGATATTAGCTCCATCAAGACTCAGTCCTAGACATCTTTCACCCCATCCTCCCTGGGTTATCTCTTCAGCCTTGTGAATTATCTTATATGTGATTTTTTCCTAATTATTCACCTTGGTCACAGACTCGTAATTTCCTGCGAGGGCAGGAAATTTGTCCATCTTTCTCACTGTTCTGCTCCTACTGTCTGCATAGTGCTTTGCATAAAATAAATTGGTGAATAAATGGAAGACAGAATGGACAGCTCCACCTTATGAGCTTTGATTAAATTTAATTCTATGCAGTGGGCGCTTACAGAATGGGTCCTATGTGCTGGGTTCTATGTAAGTGGCCATGAGGCAGGAGGAGAAGACCACATCATAGTCTTACCAGGAAGCTTCAAGGAGCTTCTAAGCAGGCTGGGGGCTGGGTGGGTGGGTGGGTGGGCAGTGCTATGATGAGGCTTCTGCCTCAAGGCAGGGTGGGTTGCTGTCCTGCTGGTTTAGAGCAAAGAATCTGACCCAAGTGGTCCCAGCTCCATGAATAATGGCTGGCTGGCTCATGCCTTTCCTGGGGTGGAAGGAGAATTTCTGAGTCACTAACCCTTTATTTCATCACTGAAAATGGTTAAAAAAAAAAAGAAAGTAAGAAAAATAGAGGCCCATTCATGGTTTCATGATTTCTAATTAAACAAAGCAGGCAATAGTATCTATAAATGACTAGGCATCAGGTTTGCCCTGGATATCCCAACTTTAGGGAATGCAGCAGCTTTTGGCTGACCCAGGTTTGGCCTGAGGGCAGAGATCACATCTTTGTGATTCAGTGCTCTCAGAGATGATAAAGTGGGTGATTGATGATGTGATATTTTAGAAACTATTATGTCCCAATGAAGTAGAGCACATGAAACCTGCTTTTAGTGAGTTCTGAAGCAGGGAATGTTATAGAATAAAATATACTGTTTGGTGTAACCTTTAGCTGTTGCTATGAGGAAACAAGGTTGAGACCCTGGGCTTTGCCGGAGGTGGGGAGTTGTGTGTGTGTGTGCATGTGCATGGTGGGGAGGTGCCTATTTGGTGTCAGTTTAACACTGCCATGAAACCTGGGGTGCAGAATTCCTCTGCCAAGGCTCTGCTTATCTAACCAGCTTTCCCTGTTGGGTCTCCCAAGAGAGAGAAGGAAATGAAAGCCGGGCCTGAGAAGGTGGATTCTCGGGAATGGGAATGCCTTGTTTTTCTTGGGTTTCTTTCTTGGTTCTAGACTTTAAGAAGCGTAGCTGATCAGGCTGGGTAGGGAGTGCCGTGATGCTGCCTGCCATCTGGATACCAGACAGGAGTTAGGTTGGGCCAACGCCTATGGGCTGTGGAGAGTTTTCATATGCAGTTGCTGCTTGAACCCTGCCCTGCTGGTTTCTCTAAGATTTCAAAATTTAAATGTTCCAGCCTTGCCTCAGCCTTGACGGTCTTTGCAACAAAGGAAACAGTGTTGTTACATGCTTAGGCCATGTTATTAAGAAGAGAGCCATGTTCCTGCATTAAGGGTAGCATGGTGTTGGTGCCTCTCCCTGAAAATAGGTGGAGGATCTCAGGAACAGAGTTGGGCTCTGAGATTCCATCCCCCACCCCCATTTGCAGGGCCTCCCCTACTGGAGGAATTGGAGAAGCTTTGGTTGTGGCTTAATTAAGGGAAAAGATGAGCAGCCTGGAGTCTCACTTGTGTGTTATATTGCTTGGAACTCCAGCATCAGGTTCAGACCTTTGTATTTAGATGTCCTATCTAGGGTCCCTTTTTTGAAATGCAGCATACCCTATCCCAGGGACAAGGAGAGGAAGAGGCCAGGGGTAGCCTGTGGGATTAATTGATAAGAGGGGAGAAGCTGGGATGTTGATTGGTTGATTGGTAGTGTGTAAGGGAAGTGCTCCAAGCTTTCAAGATTTTGCCAAAGGTTTCCCTAGCACAGGACTCTGAGGTTCCAATGTGAATTCAGCCTGAATCTGGCCACAAAGAAAGGATAGCAGAGACTCAGCCGCTTGCTTCTCACTAAGTCTCAGGGTCGTCTTCCTAGAGCCCTTGACTTGAGTCTCCTTGGCTGGGCTCAGTCTTTTCATCTACATCTTTTAATTTTGAGCCTCTTCTTGTCCATTGGACTTCTTGACAGAGGGACACTCAGTGAACCTTGCACACTTTTATTCAGGCTCCTTCAAGCCCAGTTATCTTGATTTTATGAAAGATCTGGAATCTCTACCCCTACAGAGGTTCGGAATCTTCTACCACGCCCTATTACAATATTTCTTAGCAGAATCTAAATAGTAATAATTTTATGACCACTATTTCCAAATAAAGTGTGTCAAAAGTCATAACTTGCCAGGCGTGGTGGTGCGAGCTGTAATCCCTGCAGTTTGGGAGGCCGAGGCAGAAGGATTGAAAGTTCAAAGCCAACCTCAGCAACTTAGTGAGGCCCTAAGCAACTCAGTGAGACACTGTCTCTAATAAGATATAAAAAGGGCTGGGGATGTGGCTCAGTGGTTAATTGCCTTTGGGTTCAGTCTCCAGTATAAAAAAAAATTCATAACTTTTTAAAAAAAATCTTGTAAATGTTTTTGAGACTTTGTGTTCACCAAATTTGGAGGCACTCATGTAAGTACCATTACTTGATTTAGAAATCCTAATGCCTTGGCCAACAAAATGAACGTCTTTTAACTTCCCAATTCCTTTAGGGAAAGACCTGTTTCTTTATTGAAGGTCCTTTGGCTTTGCCCTTGTGTGGGGAAAGGGTTAATAATGAGATTGTGTCGTAGGAAGTACCTGTAGTTTTCTTCATAAATGCTGTATCTAAGCCACAGAAAGGTTATGCAAAAGGGCAAGAGCCAATTCCATTCACTGCAGTGGATGGCTCAGAAATTCTTTGAAGAGGTTTATCTGTAATTCCTGAAGTATCAACATCTTCATTCCCAAACCTGTTCATCCACTCCCAACAGGGCTGCCATCCTGGGGCCACCCAGAGTTTTGATATCTCCATCTTCTGGAGAGGACTGAGAAGAATTTAGGTGATATCATGTATAGTTTGGGTACTGCTTGTATGTAATAGAGGAATAAAAGGACATGTCTCTTGAGGTCTTTAGGAAAAAAGGAATCAAAGTAGAGTCTGGTTCTAATTTTTCGCCAATCTTTAAATTTCAGAATGGGATATTTTTTTTTTTTAGTTCCTGTTGGGCCACTAGACTATGACCATGACTGTATCCTGGAGGGTGGATTTTGGCTATTTCCTCTCCAGTCTACCTATAGGCCTGAGGTGGAAGGTAAGATGAGTCTGGAGATCCATTACAACCTAGATCATGATGTATAACCACCCAGATGTTTCAACTCTGGAGTCTAATCATCCTTGTTATCATTCAGCCTAATCTGTTTCCAAACCTGTGCTTGAACCCTAAAATTGCTGGGGAACTCAGTGCTTCCACGAACAGGTCTATTTGTAGCCTCTTTAGGAGTTATTTCCACTCCCAAAGAACAGAGTTTCTTCTTTTAAACTTGTCATTCTTGGGGCCTAGGTACCCTCATCACCCTCATCTCTAAACACAGTCCAGATCTCCTCTGCAGACAGTACTGGTCAGGCCTCTCCCAGCCCAGGCACAGCAGTATTCATAAACACACCATGAGAGGGAAGCTGTGTGGCTTACCAGGGGCCGTGGGATGGGCTTCTGGGGCTTCTTGGAGCCCAACTTCTTCATGGCATTGTAGTATTTCTTCTGTTCCTCTGTCATGAAGATGTCCTGGCCCCCTAAGTGAAGGAGGGAGACATACTATTGTTATTAGAGTAACAGGATCCCTCTGGGAAACCAAAGTCAGAGCATTCTGTATGAGAACCTTCTCCACTTCATGGTAGAAAGACATGCCCAGCCTAGAATCAAGGAGAGTCTTGCCTGGACGCCACAACCAAAGACAGAGTGGTAGGACGGAGCTCATCTTAGACTTCCTGCCTGGGTTTCTGAAGCCAAGCTTGTTTCTGTTCTCCAGAAACAGAGATGCTGCGTGGACAGGGGGTGGGGAGAGCTTGGGAACAGGACCCAAGGAGAAGATATATGCTGGTTTAACTCTGAGCCTTCATTTTGTTTCAGTCAAACTCAGAGGACTTCTAGAGTCAGTCTCTGCTGGGGGGCAAGAATTTCTAAGTGCTTCTGGAGCAAAGATTGAGGACATAGAGCCTCAAGCCCTTTCTTGAGAGGAGTTGCTGAGGATAGTTCATACCTTGTCCTTGGGTTCTTGGTCTTTAAAGGACCTTGAATGGTTTTTTTTCCAGAGCCTCCGAGTAGCACTGCCCCTGCTGTTAGAGTGTCACATATGGTATTGATTGACTCTGCATCCTTCCCTGAAGACTGAGTGTTAATTTTCTTCAGGGATCCTCTGGACCACCGTCATTCAATTCCTCACCTTTCAATTCCTATTATAATCTGAAAGCCCACAGCACGCCTGTGTAAATGAGTCTGCAAATGCTGAGAAATTGGGCTGATATCTATGGGATAGGAGAGGAAATATCAAAAGGCTTCTTGGGAAGAACATCTTTGGTGAGGCCAGGACAGGGGCTGGGGCAGTGAGTAGGTGAGCACTGGGTGGGGTCAGACTGAGACTTCTGGGCAAGGAGTCTGTGGTTGAAGTTCTTATCCCAATCTGATCATTGGCTTATCTCACTCTATCACATAACATGGCTAGTGCTGTTCTCTGGACCTCAGTTTCCTCATCTGGAAATAGGAGAAAGGATTGTTTGAATGCTCTCAAATTGCTGGAATGGAGTACTGATGATGGTGGTCACTGCTGACTTGCAGAGCCCCTCTGAGGCTCCCATAGCTCTCTCCTCTCTTTTCTAATACCTAGGACCCTGAGGGAGGATTTTCTGTAGGTGGGATGCCTGCCCCAGTGGATATATATTCTAAATTATAATAGTAACACTTAGTACCTAGTGCCTACTGTGTGTTCAGTTCTTAACTAGATGCTCTTTGTATATGGTTTTCTTTTCTTTATTTCTTCTTTGTATAAAACCATATACAAAACCATATACAAAAATCACACTCCTGATAAATATTATTAACTCCATTAAATAGGTGAAAACTGAGACCCAGGGAGGTATATGATATTTCCAATATCACCTGTTCAGCTGGTGACTGAATCAGGAACACATATCTGGGCATATGTAATGCCAAAGGCTATTCTGTGCTATGTGACTCAACCATGTGACCTCTTTTCTCTTTGGATCTCAGTTTATACAAATCTAAAATGGTGCCACATCTAACTCAGGGGTATGGAGTGTCCTTAAGGAAAGGATAGCATGAAAGCATTTTATGCCTTCAATACTCTTATATTTTACTATATTATAAATGCAACAGTTTCCTATTAATCTGAGTCAACATTCATGGAGCCAAGATCCTTCCTCCCCATCCCAAGGATGATTGGAATTCTGCCAAAATCTGGGTCTTGGCCCTTCCCAAGTTTTCCTGACTTAGTCCTCTGTGAGTCAGAGCCCCAAACAGAGCAGCAAATATTGGATCTTATTCCTTCCCTGTAGATGTTTCCCAAGGTGTCACCTGTGACAGTCTCAGCACACTTGGTTCCAGCTGGGAAGACTGAGGTCATTTTGAGAAGGAGAATGGGGATCTAGGGAGGGGCATTTTTGACATGGGGTGCATTTCTTGTAGCAGCAGCAGCCCCAGGCACCAGATAGGGGTGAGGCCCACAACCAGGGGGCAAAGGTCAACTTGATGTTAAGTGCCAAAATTGGGTTCTGGGTTAGGCATAGAGGCCTATGAGTAGCGTTGACTTCAGCCATGAGGCCAGGCCAGGGGGCAGCAAGTATAAGATTCCCAGAAACAATGGAGCTCCACATATCTTTTTTTTCTGTTGATTGAAGTTGTCAATTATGACCCCAACAAAGAGATTCAGTGTGAAGAAGCCACCAAAAATGATGAAGATGACGAAGTACAAGTACATGTACACGTTGTCCTCCCACTTGGGCTGAATGTCGACCTGTGACCAGACAAGAGGGAATAGGAGAAAGAGGTTGGGTGTCTTAGCTTAGGTTGACCCTAAAAGTCAACCCTGGGACAAGAACCTGAGAGCAGGTAAATTTTCCCAGGAAGCAGGATTGAGGGAATTGGGGGAGAATAAGCAGAAAATGAAGGCAAGTTAATGAAGCAGGTGTTGTTAGGCAGACCATCATTGTGAGTAACTGATGCTCAATCCTGTTGGGGCCCCCTGAAGACTGTGTAGAACATACCTCAGAATGGAACCACCAAAGGACAGGGAAGCTGGAATATTTATTTATGACTGCCCAAGCTTATCAGTGAGGGTTGTGTCTAGGGATGCTAAATCCCCCGTCCTTGGGGGACAGGCTGCTGAGCACGGAACATGGGTCAGGGCATCACTGGGTCTGTATCTCCCAGGGCTGTACCTTTGGTATGCCTGGCATACCAAAGCTACTTGGTTATCATTTGTTGACTATTCTGGATAAATGGTGGAATGAGTGAACTCGTGGGTAAATACATGACAAATGTATAAGCAATTGTATCAAAACTGGAGTGAAAAGGGGACTGAAACATTGAAGAAAGTCTTGAGACAGAGAATCAGAAAGGCAGAATGCAAGCGAACTCGGAAGTGGGCTGAGGGAACACGGGTCAGGGCATCACTGGATCTGTCCACTAGCATCTCCCCCACCTCCCAAAGCACCTGAGATTCTGTCTTATTCCTTCAATGTCCCTTTTTTCTAGACATTTCCCTGGTTCCTATTCCTGTCTAGGAGTGGCCTCCCATATACCATCCTTCAGAGATGACCTGGTGCTCTCCTGGTGAGCACAATAAGAGTATGAGAGGCCTGGGAGTGTACATGGGAGGGGAATGGGCTAGGGGGGCTTAAACACAACCCAGAAGGCCAGCTGGACACTACTGCAGGGAGGGACAGTGTGAGGCTGCTGGATGACCACACCTCTTCTGACACCAATGACATTTTCATTTCATTTCAAACACAGACCGACATGGACACGACGCTCAGAGGGGAAGGCTGTAGATACAATGAATTGACGAGACTCACCTCTCGGGAATCAACAGCCGCATACATGATGTCCATCCAGCCTTTAAAAGTTGCCTGGAAACAAGGAGCAGAGGCCACTCAGTGCCTGCCAATCTATCTGCACTGGACCCCTGCCAGGCCATGGTGGCCCAGTGAAAGAGCAGGATGCTTAGGAGGCTTGAGGAAGAAAGGGTTTGGGCAGAAAGTGAGAAAGGAAAGTGTCCTTTGGGTGACTTGACCAATCTTATAAGATGATTTAAAGTAATCCACATGTGGCTATTTCAGAATAGAGTGGCATCAAAGACATGGAACCTTCTAGAGTTTGGCATAATTGGCTATCTGGATGCTGTAGTGCCATCTGCTGGGACTGCTTTGTGCTCTGGATCAGGCTACCTGTCTTGGGGCTGCCATTTTCTCAATCACTTTCCCACCAATGCACATGACATAAGAATGGGATATAGCCACCTCTGGAATATCAGGAAGTTGGGAGTAGAAGACCTCCACATTTTTGTCTCCAGTTTTATTGTTCTTGAGATCTTGAAATTTGGCATGCTGGGCTGGGGATGTGGCTCAAGTGGTAGCGCGCTCGCCTGGCATGCGTGCGGCCCGGGTTCAATCCTCAGCACCACATACAAACAAAGATCTTGTATCTGCTGATAACTAACTAACTAAATAAATATTAAAAAAAAAGAAATTTGGCATGCCTTTTAACATATGCTGGTCATGAAAGACATCTCAGGTCTTGCACTCCTAGGCCTTTTATAGCGTTAGATGGACTATTCCTATTCATGTATTTGTCTGTTTTTCTTCTATAGCCTTGGTGCCTGAAACCAGTTCTGACTGTATCTCCCATGGCTGTATCTTTGGTATGCCTGGCATACCAAAGCTACTTGGTTATCATTTGTTGACTGTTATTATGAATAAATGGTGGAATGGGTGAACTCGTGAGTAAATACATGACAAATGTATAAGCAATTGTATCAAAACTTGAGTGAAAAGGGGACTGAATAAATAAGTGGATGAAAGCGAGGGATGAAGGAATAAATAGAAAGAAAGTATGAATTTGACTGTCATTATGACAACATCATATATTATAGTAAGAAACTTAATTAGACATGATTTATTACCATCTAGAGATGATATAAAGTAGAAGACTGAGCACGTGGCTATACAATGGTCATTTTGTATAGGTAGTGTGTTCTAAGTAATCCCTTGACATAACCCCATGGGGGTTCCTTCCCTTTATTCTATGCTCTTAACCTAGACTTGTCTAACTGCACCACTGTGAGATGTCACTCATTGGTAATGTCTTCTAGCTTAACGGGTATCATTTGGGTAGTCTATAGGAATGAAGAATGACCTCAGCCCACACTTAGTGATATCCCTAGCAATATCTCTATATAGCATCTTCTGGAAGATTCCAGACTTTCTTCACTTGTTGGGCATCCAAAGAAAGAGAAATGGTTGATCTCATAGTTGACTCACCACCTGAAGAAGTGCGAGGTAACCCATTGCAACATTGTCAAAGTTGACTTTCACGTTGACCCAGAAAAAGTTGTCACTGTTGTTTTGATTCTGACAATCAGAAATGTTATTCACAATTGACCAATGCACAAGAGAAAAGTCTTTGTTGGTATTGTTGATGCACCTCCAAAACTTCCCTGCGAAGAGGTTCACTCCCATGATGCTGAAGATGAGCCAGAAGATGAGGCAGACCAGGAGGACATTCATAATGGATGGGATGGCGCCCACCAAGGCATCGACCACCACCTGGTGGGAAATAGAAAAGGACCTGGGACACTGCAAATGCCCCTCCCTACTGGGTCCCATTTCCTTCTATACTCATTCAAGCTACTTCATGAGCCAGTGGCCTTTGGAAACAGCAAGAGATGTATGTTAATTAGTGCAATAATTCACACTCAGAAGATTAAGAGACATTGGGCAGCTGAAGATGGGTTTAGATCTTGTTCCCCTAACCTCACTGGAGGAAGGTTTCAGTCAGTATCTTTCCTTAGGACTGAGAATATGGATCATTTTATAAGCATAAGCATACTCATTTAGAGGTACAAGTATATGTGTTATATTCATATATGCAGGCTTTTCAAACCTTACTTTATTATCCTCAATTTCTGCATTTTAGAGAATTCATACAAACATCAGTGAAACTAAATCTATATTCACCAACTCACTCATTTGAAAATCAGCAAACAAGAAACTGGGTACAAGCTGGGCACAGTGGTGCATGCCTGTAACCCCAATGGCTCGGGAGGCCGAGGTAGGAGGATTGTGAGTTCAAAGCCAGTCTCAGCAAAAACAAGGCCCTAAGCAACTCAGTGAGACCCTGTCTCTAAATAAAATACAAAATAGGGCTGGTGATGTGGCTCAGTGGTCAAGTGTCTCTGAGTTCAATCCCTGGTACAAAAAAAAAAAAAAAAAAAGGAATCTGGGTACAAATTAAAATAAAATTCAAACTATTTCAATCTGTAGTTCCTAGTATTTGCAAAGATATAAATTACTTTTAAAAATTCAAGTTAATTTTTGAGCCAATGGTGGAGAAAGGGCAAGGTGGAGGCTGATAATAATAGATAGGGGAAGGGTGGATGGAAGGGAGTAATTCACAGGATGTGGAGACTGTGTTGGGTTGGAGAGAAGGTGCGTTCCAGTGCGTGGTGGCTGAGCTGCTGAATCGAAGATATCTCTCTATTTAATTGGACCACCAGAGAAAAGACTCATTCGTCAGGGAAAGGTGGAGAGCTTGGGATGTTCTGGAGATGTTGTCAATAAGAACAAGAGGCAGAGTTGGGAGACTGAGGTAATAGATGCTGTGGAGCCTTGAGACAAGATCACTTCACAGCGGGAGTGAATCCTGGTGGGTGTGATATCTATGTATGAGAAGGAAAGAGGTTCTCACACAGGGTCTTGGGGAGGACCCGGAGAGTTGGGACATGCAGCATCACCAAAGTGGGAGCAGGAAGGGAAGATGCAGAACTGACCTTTGGAGGTGGGGGTCAGTGGTATGAAGGCATTGGGTAAGGGTTACCAAGTAAAAGTTTATAAGAGAAGTTCTGAGATGGGTCTTACCCGCATGCCTTCGAAACGCGACAGAGCCCGCAGTGGTCGCAGGGCACGGAGGGTCCGAAGGGCTTTGATGGATTCCATATCAGAATATTCCAGGATCTTCGCTATGAGGCTCGTCAGTGAGATCTGAGTGCAGGCAGAGAGCAAAAGCATCACACTAGGGTTCCAAGAGGGCAACCTGGTGGAAGAAGACAGGAAATCTCTGCCCAGCCTCCCATTTCCTGCTCTGTCTAAGCCACTGTCCTGGCTCCGACCTTATTCTGTATAGCAGTGAGAGGTAGAGAAAGAGCCCAGTCCCTCCTCATTTAGAGACAATTTTACTCCTTACTTACTTGGACCTGTGAATAACAAGAACACATTCTCCCACATTGCTACACAGGTGGTCAAACTTCCTCTCCTTTCTAGTGTCAGGTAGACCCCCAAACCTTGAAATTTTGATTGACTTTCAAGGATTTGGAGAGATGATGCCCCTTCATGGTGGCAATGCTTATGGTTTATTTTGAGGGATATAAAATGAGTCTTAATTGTATTTGCTCAGAAAAATGCACTGGAAAGAGTCCTGTTCTGGGTGGGATCCAGGTCCCTCTTTTCTTTTCCTTTTCTTTAGTGGTGGTGTGGGTCTTGAACCCAGGGCCTTGTACATGCTAGGCAAGCACTTTACCGACCAAGCTATATCCCCAGCCCACCTCAAGGTCCCTCTTGATCCCCAATTTTTTGTGACCTGCTAGTCCAGGATACTTTTGCCCTTTGTAAAATGAGGACGACAGACTAAAAGAATCCTACAGTACTTACAGCTCTGCAGTTCGCAACAAGAACGAATGGCAGGGGGTCTAGCTTCAATAGATGTCTGGGATGTAATGACTGAGTTGTGAACCCCTGTTGGTCTGTCAGCTATAAGGTTTTTTTTTTTTTAAATGATAACCTAAGGACTTCAAAAGACACAAACTGACACGGAAAAATGGTTACCCCTTCTAGGAATTTTGAAGGTGCTAGGGAGATACTCTGTGTACAGGCTCAAGCCTGCAGGGGGCTGTGACCTAATCCTGTGCTTATTCTGGTAGCCAGGTAGGGTTGTACACAATAATTTTAGAAAGCAAAGGGTTTACGCTTGGGTGCTTGAGCCTTAAATAATACCTGTTCTATGAATGGGTGGCTCATTTCACTAGGACAAAAAACTGGAATGGAAAGGGCCTCTTGTTTCATTACAGAAACATCCAGACACTACCAGGTAGCACCCAGCTGCCTGGCTGGTTGAGAGAGATGGGAGGTTTGGGGCCAGTTCCATGTTAGCCCTAGTGAGTCTTTTGCTCATCTTTCTGGGAAGCTTGGATCATGTTGAACAGTAACAGCTGGGGCACACAGGGGCTGCCACCTCTCCTGCAAATCCCACTCACTCATCCCAGCTCTCTTCCCACTGCTCAGGCCACTAGCCTCCCAACTGGTCTCTAAGCCCCAGTACTTTATCCATCTCATTCATACTCTACTGCCAATCTGATTATGATCACATCTCTCCTATAGGCTCCACCTTTTCTGGTCCTTTATCACCCTTAGGGAAAGTTTCTGTCTCCTTAGCCTATGTTACATGACTACAACCTACTCTTCTAGTCATATTTCACCGATATATCCTACCCAAATCAAATTATTCCCCCAACCACCCTTGTGTCTGTGCCTTTGTTCAAAAGCATCCTTTAGCTAGGATGGGCCTTGTCCAGTAACTCTGCACCTCTCTGCTCTTGCTCATGTGCATGCCTCATATATAATGCCATCTCCTGTATGAAACCTTCATAGCCGCCTCACCTCCCGAGTGAAAGAAAGCTCATGTTCCTGTATACTGAAGACACTAACTGTCCCTAACAGTGTCCACCACATACCCATCTTAATACACTAATTTCCTTATGTGTGTCTTAATCTGTTGAAAGACTAAAGCGTAAACTCCTGGAGGTGGGGAGTATTTATCTCTTGCTTTTATTCCCCTATGAGCACTTTGTATAACAATCTTGTATTTGGTAGATTTGAATAAACACTTGATAAATAGATGAAAAGGTCGAATTGTGTTGGGATGGATGAAAGGAATAAAAGAAGAAAGGAAGAACATCTGAGTGGAAAGTCGAAAGGCAATTGGATAGAAAGATGGATTAAAGATTACAAAGACAGATTTGGTAGTCAAATGGAAGGATGATTTGGTAGTCAATGGAAGAATGGAAGATAGAAATCAAAGGAGAAAGGAAAAAGTACGGAAGCAGGGAAGAGTAGAAGAATGGATGACTGAAGAATGGATGTAAAATGACTGATGGATGAGTGGAAAGATGCAGAGTTAGAGAGAATGGATGAATGGGAGAAATCAGTGGATTATATGAAGGTTGATTGCATGGATAGAATAAAGGAGATAAATGGACATGAGTGGATGAATATGGATGGATAGAAGGAAGGAAGGGGAAGAGAAGAATGAACAGTAAGGAAGGACAGGAAACACAGGAAGGACAGTTGGATGGGTCAAAGAATAGAAAGGTGGAAGAATGGGTGGAAGAATGAATGGATGCTTGGGTGAAAGATGCATGAATAGGTGAATAGAAAGATAGATGACTGGATATTTGGATAGAAGGGTGAATCAAAAGAGAGAAAGATATAAGGGTTGAGGATAGATGGATGAATGGATAGAAGAAAAGAAGAATGGGAATGGATGCTAGAAGGAAAAGACTGGTGGAGAAGGACACATGGAGGAAATAACGATAAATGAATGTTTTGGAGGAGGGAATAAAAAAAGGGTGAATATTTGATAGATGAAAGGAGGAATGTAAGGGAGGAAGGGCAGATGGTTAGAAGAAAGTTCTGTAGGAAGATGGATGGAATTAGGGGGTGACCATTTAAGGTGATTCGGACTGAAACTAGTGAGATCTACATAGGTAAAAGTTACTACACCCCTAAAAGGGAGGGGTCAGAATGAACATTTTCCTTTCATGTATGACTAACTATTTTATATGCACAAATTAGCACCCATGACTCAGATTTTTAGACCTCGCAGCTAGTCCCTGTGGTGCAGGAGCCAGATGATGCTAGCACATTGGCATCAGGAAAGAAGAGAGAAGAGAGTCGTATGCGCTGGCCTGCTGTGGAGGACCTGCCAACATGGGAGGCTGGACAGAATGTTCTGTACTGAACTCCATCCAGTTTTAGGAGGCAAGCACCAAATACAGACACATTTCCTGACACCTCCAATGTGTAGACCTTGATGCTGGTGTCTGCTGGTTGGGGGAGGCTGAGATAAACAGCACTATGCCTCACCCTGCTTACAGGAACCCTTAGCTATGTGGCAAAGCCAAGAGTGGAGAGAGGGTAGGGGGAAGGAGGGAGGGTGAGAGAGAGATAGGGAAAAATGTATTGGTTAAGATACAGGAGAGGTGACTCCCAGGAACCACAAGTCTAATGTATGTGTGGGAAGCACATGGTACATTCCCTAATGCAGAGGTTAGTGGTCACAGGTTCCTGGGAATCTGAACACATGAGCTCTGGATCGTCACCTCTCCAAAGGGACCCTCTTTCCTTTCCAATGGGAGGAGCCAATGGTATCAACTCAGTGGTTTCCAATCATAGTGGCCCTTTGGAAATGCTCAGAAGTTTTTAAATAATACTGATACCTGGACCCCACCCCAAATTAGAAAGACCAGAATCTCTGGAGTAGTAGTGTATGGCTACTGTATTTTTAAGAGTTCCCCAGGTGATTCAAAAGTAGCTAGGGATGGAGACCATGGAGCTAGCAGGAAGGCAGATTTCTCTGTGCTTGCTCCCCAAGGTCCAGAGCCCTGGCAGTGGATGCAGGGTCTTCAGACCCTGGATAGCCCCTGAGTCATCTTGCTTTGGATATAAAAATGCAGAGGACTCTGGTAGTCTTTCTGGTTGGAGGTCTAAGAACTGAGGGGCTCACTGGAGGGTCACCTTTGTGTTGGAGCTTACCACTCACAGGTATTCTCAGACTCTATTGGTTATTTAAAGATTTTCTTTGGGATTCCTCTGCCCTAGCTGTCGTCATTAGTCAGAGGTGAGAACCCCAAGCCCCACGTGTTCCCACTGAGCCACTCACATTCACAATGAGGAAGTCCAGCCAGCACCAGGCGTTGGTGAAGTACTTCTTGAAGCCATAGGCCACCCACTTGAGCAGCATCTCAAACACAAAGATAAAGGTGAACACCCTGTCAGAGTATTCCAGCAAAGCCTTCACCTTGGGCTTCTGGTCCAGGTAATAATCTTCAAAGGCCTGGAGGGAAAGGAAGAGAGGGACAGACTGCACAGGGGCCCAGGCAGACAGGGAAGGACCCTGCCAGCCCTGCTCACAGTCCCTGGGAGCAGTATCATTTTCTTGCCTCTGTTCCTGGGAGGGGAGGTGGAGACTGGAGGAGGCATTGTGAGATATAAACCAAGACTTCCTCAGCCAACAGGGACATGAAGCCCTGCTGATGCTTTGCAGGGTTGTTGAATGCAAGTGAGAAAGGAAACCTTCTCGAATAGGATTTTGGAAGCGAACCAAAGGGATGCTAACAGTGACTTGGTTTAAAAATAAAAGCATCAAAGGATGTTCGCAGGCAGTTCACACACAAAAAAAATGAGAGTAAGAAATGCCAACAAACTTCTGAAAAAAAAAAAAAGCGTTTTATCTCACTGGTAATCAAGGAAATGGAAATTAAAAGAAGATGCCATATTGTTCTTTTATCAGACTGGTGGAGATCAAAAAAAAAAATGGAGGGGAGACCCCAGCACTGGTGTGTGACTGGTGGGAAGGAAAACAAAAATAGTTTTGGGGAAGCCAAATTGGAAACATGACTCCAAGGTTTTAGAAACCCAGTAATTCTGCCTTCAAGGACTTGTCCTAAGGGCACTAGATGCCATTAGGACCCTCTTTATGAGCCAGCACCCCACTCACCAGCACTGGGAGTGACTTTGTTGGGCCCACCTTGGGGACTACTTTGCGGATTAGATATCTGTTCTCTACCCAGGGCAGCCAATGAGGATTGACATGTGGGTTTATCAGGTCATCCCCTTTGTTTCAAGGGCAGGGCTTCCTGTGGGAAATTCATGGCTGAATTTCAATTTCTCTTGGCTTCTTTCTTTGCTCATTTACTCCCCTCATGGACTTTATCTGAGAGTACCCCAATAAACTGCCAGCACAGGAAAATTGCTTGGGGTTCTGAATCTAGGACCCAACCTGACAGGCAATCATTGATATCTCCAAGGCGGTGCATATGGCTACGTGATGCTTATTAGAAGTAAACACAGGGGTTGGTTGAATAAATATGGCACATTTCTCTAATAGAATATGTTGTAGTCGTTAAGTGAGATAGTATGAGAACAATTCCTAAGAAAATTTCCTGGGAAATCACAGACTCACAGATGTGATTTTAATTTTATAATATGTATTCTGTGCATAAGAGAGATGGGAAGGAGATATACCAAAATGTTTTCAAAGTAAGCTTCACTTTGAGTGATAGGAACATGGGTAATTTTTTCCTTTTGACTTTTGCTATAATTTCCAACTTGGTTTCTCTGTCTCTCTCTCTCTTTCTCTCTCTCTCTCTTTTGCATTTTACTTTGTCAGATGAAAACTCATGTTATATTTTAAAAAGTACTCCAAGTAAAAGCATAAAGACTAAATTTGGTGCAAGCCTGTTTGGCCCCATGGGGAAGGAGATGGGGAGCGAAGGGAAGCTGCTGGGGTGGGGTGGGCTGGGGCAGAGCAGCTGTTGCAGGATCTGAGTCCCTGCTGGAAATGGGGAGGGTGACAGCTGGGGTATGAGGAACAGCAAGGGAGAATGGAGAAAAATGGAGAGAAATCAGCATTATCATTTTATCCAGGAGATCAGGAGGGAGAGAAGGGAAGGTGTGGAGAAAGCCCTGTCTCACCTCCTCCAGCTCCTGCAATGTGGCTTCAGCATGCTTGCTGCCCAAGTGGAGAGTTGGCATCCTGTCCCATCACGATGGCACTTTCAGAAACTGCCACCTTCTGCAATTGCCACGACAGCAGGCCAGTCCTCTTACCGACACTCTCCCCACTTGGCTTTGTGCCATCCCTGCCGGGTCCTCCTCCACCTCTTAGGGTGGAGCCTCGTCCCTGCCGCTGCTCTATCCCAACGTTGAAGCCACACTGAGCAGCTCAGATGCCCTACATGGGAAGTCTGGCATTGAAGTCCAGTGCTCAGACATTCAGTAGATTATTTTCAGGGCATCAATGATAGAGGAGGAACAAGACAAGTGAAAATGCTTTGAGCTGTGGAATCAAGAGAGTGGGTCTCTAGTCCCAGACCTTGAACTAGTTATCTGGGTCTCCATGCAGTTTCCTTCATGTCTTTGGGCTTCAACTTCCTCACCTATAAAATATGTACAACTGGGGATGACCAGTCCCTTCCGGTGTTCTTATCATCTATCTTGTTCTATTGAGATGAGCACTCGAGATTGAACCCTGAGAGAGAAAGGATCCTCCTTCTTGTCTGACAAAGCCTGGCATTCAGTCCAGGGCTTCAGGAGTGTCTTGAACTCTGAGCTTTTATCCCTGAGGCCTTGCGGGTCAGTATGCAATGGCTCATGGATGATAGCATCAGCCTCATTTGAGAGCATGTTGTACATACAGGCTCTCAGGCCCTGCCACCAATCTTCCAAAGCAGAACCTGCATTCTAGCTAGCTTCCCAGGTTATTCAGTTTTGAGAAGCACTGCCATAGCAATTTCCTGTTTTGAGGGATGAATAGTAGCATTTGCAAGTGGTTTGATAAGATAAGAAGGATGGTCTCTGTAGGCCTTCAGGGAAAGCCAATATATTTGGGGAGGTCAGAGGGAGGGAAATCAGGGATATGGGACTCAGTTGAGGGCAAAATTAGGTTTTGTTACTGCCAAGTTGGGTGAGTTTGGAAAAGTCCCCCAAACCTTTGTTTCTCCATCCATAAAGTGTGTGTGTGTGTGTTTGTGTGTATGTGGTAGGGAGCATGCGCTCACTGTTTACAATGTAATTTTGTAGCAGCCAGTCTGAGCAGGCCATGTTGTGGACCATCTAGAACCTTCCATCCCCTGCTGTTAAGAGGAACATTGACCTGCAACTCTCCTTCTCCTGCTTCAGGCTGAGAACTTTAAGGCCAGGATTGAGAGGAGCCCACTGATGCAGCTCCAGGGCTGTTAGATTGCAAGGATCCCATATGGAGAGCTTAGGGGCAAGAGACCTTACCAGAGACCCACTGCTAAGCAGGATCATGAAGATGATGAAGCTCTCAAACCAGCTGTGCTCCACGATGCGGTAGCAGGTCTTACGCAGCTGCCAGCCCATGTCCCACGGGAACTTGGTGGCATCCACTTTGCAGCAGGGACAGTGTCGCATGCAGCCTGTGGAGAGAGGTGCCTCATAGTGAGTGATATTCCACTGGGATCACTTCTGCTCCAGCTCTGCAGAGAAACCACTCTTCTGGGAAACCCACTCAATGCACCTTTAGAAAAGAATCCTCTCCTGGAATAAGAGAGAAGGGGTCCCTTCCAGGTGGTCCTTCAATTCAGCCCTTTAGGTGATTCTCTTGAATTTTGTGGTCTAGCCCACTCTGATGTCCTCCTCAACCATCTTCCTTCTTATAGATGATACCAGTGGTCCCTATCTTTATGCTCAATCATCCCTGGAAGCCTGATTAACCAATGGGCATGGGTCTGGTGGTGTCTGATGGACTATGCTCCGAGCCCACACTAAACTTAGTGGCCACTGCCTGGCTAGGTTGTGACTCATCCTAGCCCAGGGTCAAGTGGTACAAGAAACTCAATGAACATGATTTTTGTCCTAGTCCTCAACTTCTACTTCTTTAAAGTTATTGAGGCCACAATAACTGTCATAGTGTGAACTATTTGTTTTTTCATTCATTGCACAAATATTGAGAATGTCATATGACTCTGCTTTAAACATGAGGGAAAAGATGAATAAGTTACAGGCTGTGCCTTTAAGGACCCTAAACCCCTCAGCTTGTGAGGTCTCGCTCTTTTCTCACTCTCCCTACAGCCATCCAGGGATGAGGTTCTGGTGATGGTGTGTGAAAGCGGAAATTTACGGATTTGCCAGAGGTTGGCAAGGGACTTAAAAATTCCCAGTATGAAAAATGAAGTGATACAAAAGATGGAGGGAAACAGATATGTTGTGGCCATCCTCTGGGTCCTTTATGTCCCCAATCAAGAGTTAAGGTAGTCACGGTTTTGGTAGTATCCGCCTATTCTCTTTTCAATCTCAAGAAGGCTGGCTTATAACTCAGTGAGGTGTTCTCAAGGGAGAAGAGAGAGACTCAGCTCCTGTCCTGGGTCCGTCTGATGTGGCATGAGGGGCAGTGAGTCATGTCATTTGTATCTGACACTGGAGCCCTTGAGCCTGGGATGAGGCTGCGGGGGGCCCAGTTTTTGTGGCCCCTGTGGACCCCAAGCCAAGGCCCTGGACGCAGAGGTGCCTGGTGAACATCCACCTGGGTTCTGGCCCTAATGAACGGCAGCATGAGGAGGCCCCGAGCTGCCCCTTTACCTTCTGTGAAGCAGTCCTCTGGTTCTTCCAGGTCATCTGCCAGCTCAGGGATCTTCTTCAGTATCTCCTCGGGGTCTGGGCAGTCCACAGTGCTGCCCTCTGAGGAGCTTGTATCGTCCACTTCCTGCAGGGAAGAGGGCCAGGGTAGTGAGCTCGGTTCTCTGAGGGACCCAGAAGCAGTGTGGCCCCGACAGGGCCAACTGGCCGAGATCCCCAGAGGTGTAGGGCGAGCCCTTCAGGGCCCAGGTCCTGCCGCTGGGCCTGACCGGCATCCTGCATGCATTTGGTGCCTCAGCAGCTGAGGCCCGGAACGCTGCTGCTCCCTGTGGAGCCCCCAGGCTTAGCTCAGCGAAGCTGTAAACTTCCAGGCCCTGATGGAGTGCTGGCGATGGCCCGAGACACCATAATTACACCCATAAAGACTCTCAGCTTTCACTGGGCTTGAATATTTAATCGGGGAGCAAGGCTGAGGGGCCTGCTGCCCTCCTGGCAGCTCTGGCCCTATAATGTCTCCAATGAATTCAATTAGGAGTTGAAGCTGCTCTCATATTAGTAAACCTGATAGCTTGGCTAATGGACCCAAATGGTGGGGTGGGTCCCCATCTGTCGCTGTCAGGCCCCTCCCTGCCTGGCCAGGGTCATAGACAAGAAAACAAAAACAAAACAAAACAAAAAAATAAAACCAACACTCAGGTGTTGTGTACTGAAAACATCAAAGAGGGAAAACTAACAGAGTCCTTAGAATGCTTAGAAGGGAACGTGGCAGCCAGGTGTAGAATGTGACAATCTTCCCCACTGGGGTTCATCTGGCTTGTGTTCACCCACTGCCCCCAAATCCCATCTCAGCCCTCTCTCTTATCTTGCCTGCTAGGGTCAGCCTTGCCCAAGGCATGCAGCCAGCAGCTGACAGGCCTCGTGCTGGAGGGCTTGATACCTTTGGGGTGATTTATGTCTGGCTTATCTTTGCCTAGCCCGGTGCCTGTCACACAATCCACACTCAGGGGCTAGGTGTCACGTCAAATTCTCTAATTCGTTAACCCGGGTAGTGAAGATGCTAAACCTTTAGAGGCACCTCTTTCCCAGTGGATTGTTTTCTTCCAAGATTTGTAAGCCACATTGCAAAGTTTATTTTTAGCTCCTAGAGGACATTCCTAAACCTGAGTCTTCTTCCCCCGCTCGCTCGGTCCCTGTAAGGCTGTCACTTCACCACTCACCGGCAGACAGCCTCTCTCCAGCACCGATCTGCTTTTGGCTAGGGGAAAAAAAAATGTGGACAAAAGAAAGTGGGGGAGCCTCGCAGGGGAGAAAGACTTCCCCATCCACGAGCACCTCTAACTTTTATCTGCTGCCTCTGATTCTCTTTGTGCAATGTCTTTTGTTTCCCTTTCTCTTAGCTGTCATTTTCTGGGCACTTACTCCATTTCAGGCAGGAGCTAAACACTTGACAAGCAGCGTCTCATTTAAGCCTCAAAATAATCCTGCCAAGGAGGCATCACCCGCTTCCCAATGAAGAAACAGGCTCAGAGAGGTTGAGGAATGGCCCTAAACGCCCCAGCTAGTGGGGTCTCACTCTTTTCTCACTCTCCCTTCAGCATCCAGGGGTGAGGTTCTGGTGATGGCATGTGAAAGCTGAAATTTACGGATTTGCCAGAGGTTGGCAAGGGACTTAAAAAATTCCCAGTATGAAAGATAGAGTCACAAGGTGGAGTGTGGTCTGGAATACTCTCCCCCAGCCCCATCTTCCACTGGTCCACCGGTCAGTACAGGGCTGACTATCTGGATTCTCCAGGAAGCTCACATACCTACCTCTGCAGGAACCTGAGGAGCAGCTGTGTCTTTCCACTGCTCACCCACATATGGAGTTAGGTCCTCAGAGGAGATACCAGAGCCTGGGCTCCTAGGTGCCAGGTGGTCCTCGTACCTCCCGACTTGCTGCAGCTGCTCCTGCTAGTGAGAAAGGGTCCCAACTGGGTACTTGAGTCAGGTTCAGCTGAACACTTCCAAATTTGAAAAGATCTTGCGCACCACAGGCTGACAGAGCTAAGGATTTCGTACATGCAACTGGCACACATCCATCCATATGTATGTACATTTGTGTGAAATGAGCTCAGACGCTATAGCCAGATAGATCTGCATTTCACGCCTAGTTCCATTGCTTAGAAGCTGTGTGAGGGTAGGCAAATTATTTAACCTCTCTTAGCTTCTTTTTTTCTCCCTTTGCAAAATTAAAAGGCAGGATCTACATCATTCCATTATTTTGACAACTAAATATGTTAATGCTTACAGAATACTCTGTAGGAAGTGCTTGGCTCGACAGATGTTAGCCATGACCATTAGTGCTTGTGCAGAAGTCAGACGGCTGGTGGACTTGGCCAAGTGGACCCCTCCAAAGAACCCCAATGTAACTGAACATGCGTCTTGGTGGCAGACAGAGTTCACGTCCTTTACTCTGGGGATGGTGACGCCCTGCCCTCGGCTGTCACCCAGACAAAGGCATGTAAAAAATGGCAGCTGATAACAGCAGCTGCTGGAGCGCCAAAGAAGTGACAGCTGTAGGGTAAGAAGGCTATGGGAGAGCTGCAGACTCAAAGCACAGCTGTCTGAGGCCACTTAGTGTCCTGGCCAGCAGCCCTCTATGTCCCTAGGGCCCCTACAGGGATCCTGGCCCTCCCACACTGTGCCAGAGGACGTGTCCCGAGTCAGTGAGAAGAGGTTAATAGGGTTGATGCAGCAGCTTGAGGTAGTAAAGCACTGTGCAAAAAAAGTATAGACTCTCAAAGGTTTAAATGCGCCTTCAATTTTTTGATGCTGAAAGGAGTGTCATTTCCCGATGACATCACTTGTCAGGAAAATCTCCTCAAATGAGTCACCTAATAATCAGGACTTCTTAGGGTGCTGGTGAAGCTTAGATGAGCCTGCTCTTGGAAAACATCCTGTTATTGGAGGAATATCATTAGTGTCTCATGTACCAAGTCTGAGCCAGGCCGAGTGAAGTGGCAGCCGTGTGACAGAAAATGCCCAAGCACCTCAGAGTAGCCTGGGATTCATCTGTGGCCCTGCCTGGACATTCGGACCCTTTCTTCCAGGCCCTGCTGATGGGTCACCTCCTCTGGAGAACTTGGCATGGTTTTAGCTTCTTTATGTCAAGGTCTCCTATGCCTGACTCGCCAGGGGCTCTGTCAAGGCTGGGCCAGCCCTGATGCTGGAAAGCCTAGGTACCTTCATTTTCCGTCTGTCCTTTGTCACTCTTACCCCGAGGCCCCTCCCTACCTTGTGAGGATGTCTCCCAGGGAGCACTCTTACCTGTACTTTGGGGAGCACTTCCTGGCAGGAGCCCTGAGCATCCTGCTCACCATCATCCTCCAAGTCATCGAGATCAGATTCACCCTCAGCAATGGGCACAGAGACCCACACGTTAGGATTGGTGATGAAGTCACCGTGGTCCTCCCTGGGGTCTCTGAGAGCTGGCAGCCCTCCAGGGCTCCTCATAGAAGTAGCATCGGCAACAATGTGGTTCTCGGCTTTGGAGATAGAGATGGAGGGTTTCATCCACAGCGGGGGCTCTGGCTTGGGCCAGCGGGGCAGGCAGGGCCTGCTGAAGAAGCCGCGAAGTGCCTGCTTGGTGCGACGGCCAAAAGCCTGGATCCGTGCCAGGGCCACCTGCAGGTTGTTCACTTCCCCGTCATCCTCTGGTGCAGTGAGGTTGTCGGCACTGAAAGAGTTCAGCAGCAGGGCGATGAACAGGTTGAGCACCTGGAGAAAAGGAATGGAAGGGAAGATGGCTCCATCAAGCCACCTGGTGGGCAGCAGGATGGTAGGACCACCATAGCTTGACCTCTCTCTCCTTATGTACCCAGGATGCCTTGCTTCTTGGGAGAATGAGCTGCTGAGGGGATGTCCCAGGGTAACCTGACACAGGAGGACAAAGCTTGGAAGGACATTCTCCACCACAGTGGAGGATCACCCTGCTGAGCAAAGGGACACTCAGGGACAATACAGAGAAGCAGGCAGGGGCTTGCCCTTGGTCACCCACATCTGTTGAAGCCCTGCTTTCTGTTCCCCACTCTGGAATCTCAGGCACATCTTGTTGTTTCTGACTTTATGTTCTTCTGAGAGCAGGGAGTTGGAGCTCCCTAATTTTCAGAGTAGATGTGAAGATAGGAAAGATGTCAAAGTGCTCAGAGAGACAAACTTTCTGCATGAGGGGTAGGTGTTCTCATAGCTCTGCAAGGATGGTGAGTGAGCCGAGCCTGGGAGAAAGGAGTTTCAAGCTGGCCCAATTCAGCAATGCAGGCAGAAAACATCTCTGGCTCGGGGACCAGGCTGGGAAAGATTTGGGGGGTCTGGATATGTTCTTTCATCTCTTTGTTGAGCTTTCTCCTGTCTGTAAAACCTTACACAAAAGGAATCCAAAATGGCGGACTTCCATGGCAATAGGAACATGGCTCTTGGAAGACCATGTCCTCCCTTGCTCACTTCTCCCCCCACAAAAAAACCTAGGGCTAGTTAGTTGCTCACAACTAGAGTGGGTGGTGCCAACTGAGAGCAAGGAACCAGGCTGGGATGGAGAAGGGATGTTGGTACTAATTGGCAGGAAGGCCTGCAGAGGGATTCCCCCAAAAACCTGGGAATAGATTTGAAAAACTATGATCTGCTAGACATGGTCCAATTTTTACTCTCTCCTCTTGTGCCCTGGCTCTTTCCTCTTCTTTCCTGAAGAAATGTATCCTCTGAGCACCCCCAGATTGCGGGGGAGGGGATTTTTCCTTCAACAATGAATAGCTACCGTTTATTGAGTTCCCAGACACTGCACTCGGTAATTTGCATATGTCATCTCCTGTCATTTAATTTTCCCAGCAAGCCCATGAGTAAGCACTGTTTTTTTTTTTTTTCTCTTTTGATTTTTAAGGAAATCAGAGCTCAGGGAGAATTATTAGATCTCTTGCTCTGGGTCACCCAGCTAGTAAACGATGGTGGGAAATTTTCCCACAGGATTTTCCTTCTTTGTTCTATGTGCTTGTCCCTACATGTCAGTTGCTCCCTGAGGCATACTTCTTATTGCATGTCCCACATGGCTTTGAAAAGTTTTAAGATTTCTCAACCGGGGGGGGGGGGACAATGTAGGCATAAAAATGCACAAAGTCAAGCAAGGTCAAACAAGTTTTTTGTTGTTGTTGTTTGGAATGACCCAGAAACCTCCTTCCTTGCCCATGATGTGGAACCCCAGTGGGCACTCACCACCAGGTTTCCCAGCACCATGACCGTCAAGAAGAGGATGAGGCATATGGATTTCTGGCTGACTTCCATGCAGGCCCACATGTTCTCGATCCACTCTCCACAGAGGATCCGGAAGACAATGAGGAAGGAATGGAAGAAGTCATGCATGTGCCAGCGAGGCCATTCATCCCCTGGCACAGCGATAACAGAACGGTGAGCCCCGTAGTCTTCCCCGAGCAGCTGCTTGCCAACCAGAGCGAAGATGAAGACAATGATGGCGAGGATGATGGTCAGGTTCCCCAGCGCCCCCACCGAGTTCCCGATGATCTTGATGAGCGTGTTCAAGGTGGGCCAGGACTTGGCCAGCTTGAAGACCCGCAGCTGGGGAGAAGCAGAGACTGTCAGGCCCTGGCAGCTCTTCATCACCTCTCATCCAGTCTTGGCTGGAAACCAAAGTTCTGAGAAAAGCACGAGGCAGCTCATCCCATAAGTTGAGGTGCTCCCTGAAAGTTGCTTTCAGAGACTTCTTTTTATAAATGACTCAAAAAATACCATCAGCCATCTATGGTCCCTAAGTATCAATGTACTTCACTGACTGTCAATCAGGGCCTTATACTGTGGAGGGAGTCTCATGATCTTTGTTCTATTAGCCACAGGCCTGATCCCTCCCGAATGTCACTTGCAAATAATGGGAGTCACTGGGTTCTGACTGATAGAACGGAAATGGAGACAAAAGGAACACACGTTATGTTCAGGCATAGCTATAAATTTTCCTGCACTTTCTCTTCCCCTTTCATGGTCCACAGAGGCTACCTGTTTAAAGCCATGATATCATAAAATGGGATACTCCTGAATCCCTGAGTTACTTCTTGGAGTAAACACGCTCGGGAAAGCTTCCCAGCCAGTATTGGATGTGCTGTGAGACATGGACTTCTGATGCTATCTCACAGACTTAGGGGTTGTCACTGGAGCTAGCTCTATTTATTTTGAGCAAGGTAGACATTGGTATGATGAAAAGAGAGGTATTGCCATTTCAAAAACATCGACTGTGTGGCACTGGCCTATGATCATGTGTTGGACAATGAGGAAACAGATGTAGGAAGACTTGGAAAGTGTTGATCTGTGTGATTTACTGGCAAAAATATTCTTTGCAATAATTCTGGGGTAGATCATGTGCCTCATGATCCAGCAGCCTCAGGAGAAGGATTGGCAAAAACCTTAGTATTGTGCGTCGCTTATAATTTGGTTTTACCAAATATTACAAGAAAGAGATGAGGAATCCAGGAAATATTTGGTTGATTTACAAGAAATGAAGGGAAATAGAGTCCAGAATTTTAGGTCCTTGAATATACAGTGCTTCTAGGTCCCAAACAATAAGGATTAAGTTTCAAAGTGTTGAAGACCTGTCAAAATTTCCAATGAAATGAAAAAACTCTCAGCAAAGATTGCATTAATGTGTAGCCATTAATGTTTTTTTTTTTCTTTTGAGAGAGAAAGACACGAGGACAAGAAAGCAAAGAAGTTAGGCAGAATTGGGGACTATGTGCTTTGAATGTGTAGCAATAAGAGGTCTGAAGCCATTTACATTTTGGAAGGAATTGTATTGCATAATGATCCCTGAGTGAAAAGCTTTTGACTGTTTAAAAATTAAGGCAAACCTTGGCCTCCCATGTTTCCACAAGCAGGAAGAACTTTGCAGACTGTAAAGGCCATCTTGAGAGGCAGCAGAGTCAGTTCCTGAAGGAGTGCTAGCTATAGATACCTGATTTGCATCAGACTATGAAATGACTAAGAAATAAACCTTTATGAGATTCAGCTACTGAGTTTTGGGGATTACTTATACAACAGTTAGCATTATTTGTCACTAATTAATAACAAAGTTTTTGGTCCTGGGTTTATTCCCATATTAGGCATGCACTCTACCACTGAGTTACATCTCCATCTCCCTAATTTTTTTTTTTTTAAAGAAGATAAAATTTAAAAACAGTGCAATAATAAGCTGAGAAAGGATAATTGGAATGAAAAATTTTCTGGAGGAAAATGGAGAGACTTTAGCTAACTTTTGACTTTGACTAATTTAACTGCTTATGCTGTAGTTTGTAAGGTAACTACTCAAAGAATAAACACTGAGTATTTAGTTTTCAAATCAGTAAAGGGGAAAATAAGACAAGCAAAAATATAAAAATATACAATCTAAAATAAATCAAGAAGTGTGTGTGTGTGTGTGTGTGTGTGTGTGTGTGTGTGTGTGGCGGTAGGGGGTGGGTGGGAGATTGATCCATCTAATGATAAACGTATATTCAAATATGTCAGTATTTACACTAAAACAGGTAGACTAAATGCTTTGGTTAAAAGACAAAAACTGGACTGTCAAAAATGAATAAGAACACAAACTCTGTCTATATGCTATTGGCATATAAATACACGACTGTCATATAAAGACTATAAGTAGAAGTATGGATAAAAACATATTGGGCAGATTCTAAATCAAAAGAAAGAAGAGTTATGTAATTAATATTAGGCAAAGTCATTTTTAAAGGCAAAAACATATATAAAGATAAAGAAGGTCAATTTTAATAATATAAGTTTCACTTTACTGGGAAGACATAACAACTTAAAATATGTATGCACTTAATAGTGCAGACTCAAGGCAAAGCCAGATGAGAAACAGACCTGCTATAATCATAGTGGGAGATATTTTTATACACCACCTTCTCTGTAATTGCTAGAACAAGCAGTAGACAATAACAACCAGGGATATAGAATATACTGCATAATAAAATTTCTCTACCCAATGGATATATACAGGGCATTGTACCCTACAGCTAACAGGAAGACACATTTTATTCAAGTACATAAGGAACATTTTTAATATGCTGAGCCAAAGAGAAATTATCAATAAATTCCAAAGCATTAAAATCATACCACATATGTTTCTCCAACTATAATACAATTAAGCTGGAACTCAATAACATAAAGATAACTAGAAAAACCACATATGTTTTGAAATTGAGAATCATACTTCTAATTAACCTTTGAGTCAAAGAATAAATCAAAGTTGAAATTAGGAAATATTTAGAGCCAAACAAGAAGGAAAATTCTACATGTGAAAGCAGTTCTTAGAAGGAAAATGAAGCCTTAAATATATTGGAAAGGAAAATGGACTGAAAATTGCATCTTAAGAAGTTGGAAAAGAACAAAATATGTAGCATTTGAGGATGTAATTAAGATAAGATGCAGGATTAATTGAAATAGGAAAACATCAATGATGTAGAGAGAATCAACAAGATAAAAGCTGGTTCTTTGAGAAAACTAATTAAATTGATGATCTTTGGCAGAACTAATGAAAGGATGAGAGGAAACACGAGTCACTATTATTAAGAAAAAGGTGTCAGAGGTAGAGTTGACAGAGATCCTTGAAACACAGCAGGGGATGTACAAGTCTAGGCCAATAAAACTCGAAAATTTCTATAGGAAGGAAAATTCTTAAATAAATAACAACCCATACCAATTTGAGAAATAAAAAAAAAACCTGACTAGTTTTCCAACCATTAAGAAACTTAAATCAATAGTGAAAAATCTTGACCTCCATGAGTCTTCACTAGTGAATCCTACCAAACCTACAAGGAAAAAATTATACCACTCTTACATAAATATTGGCTAGAGAAAAAGAGAAATATTCTTCAACTCTTTTTATGGAGATTAGTATAGTCTGGATACCTGGATACTCAAACTACAAGGACAATGTAAGTAAGAAAAATCACAGGCTAACTATTATTCATCAATATGGATATAACAATAGTAAGCAAATTATCAACAAACTGAATCTTGCAATGTATTAACAAGATCAAGATCATTTTGGGTGTATCCAGATCAAGTGAGGTGTATCCCAAGAAAGCAAAATTCTTTTAACATTAAAAAACATCAACTAATAAAATTTGCCACTCTATAAAGGAGAAAATCTTCTGATTATCTTAACGTGATTATCTTTACAGGCAGAACAGTGATGTGATAAGTGCCTGTTCATGATAAACAGTCTTAGCCAAATAGAACTTCCTAGACTGATAAAGGTTTTTTTTTTTGTTGTTGTTGTTAAAAAACCCATTTTTTTTTAAAAAAAGCCTGCCACAAATGTCAGACTTAGTGAAATATTGAAAGCATTCTCTTTGCAATCAGGAAAATAGCAAGGATGCCTGCTATTAATGCGTATTTTCAACCGTGTACTGGATGTCCCAACCAGCACAGTAATACAGTGAAAAAAAAAATCAAATGGTAGAAGGATTAAAAGAGAAGAAACAAAACTCTTCATTTGCACATGACATGCTTGTGTTCAAAAATTTAAAAACTATATAGATAAATCATCAGAACTAATAAAAGAGGTTTTTGGATTGCAAAACACTAAATGTCAAAATGCTAACAAAAGGCAAGAAAAGAACATTTAAAAAATGTAAGATCCTTATGGGGAAAATCATGAAGACTTTATAGACTATAGACGGGCATAGTGGCGCATGCCTCTAATCCCAGTGGCTTGGGAGGCTGAGGCAGGAGGATTTGTGAGTTCAAAGCCTGCCTCAACAACTGTAAGGCACTAAGCAACTCAGTGAGACCCTGTCTCTAAATAAAACACAAATAAGTGGGGCTAGGGATGTGACTCGGTGGCCACTGAGTTCAATGCCTGCTATGCCCCCAAAAACTTTATATAAAAATTATAGAACTTTATTGAGAGATTGGAAATAAATCGATATACTATCTTCATGGATCAGAAGATTACATCTTGTAATGGATACATTTCTTCTCAAATTGCCTTAGCGATTATTGAAGTCCCAATGTGAAAAGAAAAAACACCCAAGAGTTTTGTGTATATGTCAGTATGTAACATGGCAAGCTGATTCTCATTGAATATGGAAGTGCAGGGGCCAAGATACTCAAGAGTAAAATGAGGTGGAAGACTTACAATGCAGACATATTCAAAGCTGCAGTGTTGGTACAAAGACAGAATTAATGGAGCAATGCCTTGGACACTGTCATGAGAATTGATGCTCTTCTGCAAGGGAGGAAAAAGCAGAAAGACAGACTTGAAACTTTCATTTCTTCCTTCTTTCCTCCTCCCTTCTGACTTTTTTCCTTTGATCAATCAGCAGATGTTTATTGAGTTCTTACTTAATGCACTGGGCCTTGGGCTAGGCCCTGGAGATAGAAAGGCAAACAAGAAGACTGTGGTTCTAGCGACATGGGGTATTTGAATGTAGTCATCATACAGCGTGAAGGACAGGTTGATTGGATGAGGGAATCCCTTGTTAGGTAGCTGGGGTGGGGAGGTTCTCTGTAAGAGGACTTGAGAGTTAAACCCAGAAGGTTGAGAATTACTAAGCTCAGTGACTAGGGAAAAGCATACCAGGTAGAGGAAATAAGTATAAAAGGCCCAAATCTAGGAAAAGTCTTGTTTCTAGTGAGGTCTCTAGAGGAGGTTCTAGTGAGGTTCTAGAAGAGGTCTCTCTGGCTGTTGCAAAGAAGGCAAGAGGAAGTTTCTTGGTAAGACAGGCAGGACCAGATCATGCAGAAATTTTACACCATATTAAGGACTTCAGATTTTATTCTCAGAGCAACAGGAAACCATGAAAAGTTACTTGTAACCAATATACCTTACCAACCTAAGATTTTGGTAATAGGGGAAACCATGTGTATGTTTTGTTTTTTGTCGGGGTCAGGGAAGAAGAGGTGATGGTGTAAGGGAACTGTCTGTTCTATCTGCCCATTTTTTTTTTTCTAAAATATTTAAAACTTAAATTTAAAAATGAAATCTAGTGATTAAAACTGACCAACTGAACTTTGTTATTCTCTAGTAATTCCCACAGTTCAGGTGCAGGCATGGCAGTGGGAACTTAACTCGAGAATAGTGTCTTGTACAACACAAAGATGCTTGAAGAACAGAGGAGAAGGATGATTGAGTTTGTGGTCAAGGGCGTGATAATCTTAATGGACCATGAAATCTAAGCCAAGTCATGTAGGAAGTGGAACAGACCTCAGGTAAGTGTGGTGCAAGGGAAGGGGGAGTTGATCAATGGATTAAGATCAGAAAGTGGGCCAGGTGCTGTGGTGCACACCTGTAATCCCAGCAGCTCAAGAGGCTGAGACAGGAGGATCGCGAGTTCAAAGCCAGCCTCAGCAAAAGTGAGGCCCGAAGCAACTCAGTGAGACCCTGTCTCTAAATAAAATACAAAAGAGGGCTGGGGAATGTGGCTCAGTGGTGGAATGTCCCTGAGTTCAATCCCTGGCTTCCCCCATAAAAAAGAAAAAAAAAAAAAGATCAGAAGGTGGAGGAGACATGTACTTAGAAAGGAGGGGAACATGCACATGGAAAATTCTGTTGGCCCAGGTTGTAAAGTAAATCTACCTTTTTTTTTTTTTTTTTTTGGTCATTACTGATTTGAGACTTTGTGGGATCAGAACAAAGTAGCACATAGACCTTAAAGCACCAAGCTTCTGTTTCCCTAAACACCGTCCAAATATTCCCTGTCTATTAGAGAGCCAGCTTTGGGTCCTCCTGGGACAGAGGAGTATGAAGTCCTGCTTCCATCTGACATTGGGCATTAGCATAGGGGCCTTTCACTTGTCATCATCTTCTACATACTTACAACAACTTGTCCTTCTGAAACTGTCACTTAATTATAATCTAAAATCTCCAGGTCATGCAGAAAGAGTCCTGGAGGCCCACTCTGCCCTTCTCCTCCCTGGAATCCAGTGCTAAGGGTGGTGGGAGGGAGGCCCCACCTGCTTAGGCGGATTGCATCAACCAGGGGGTTTAGGACACAAATGTCTCAGGACATTGATCTTTAAGTGTGATTGTTTAACAATTGAATTAGTAGTCCATATTGATAATATTCACATAGAATTAGAGATTTCTGGTTTCTCATGAAAAATTGGAAACTCTGACAATATTGGGCAGGTCACTTCTTTGGTAAAACTTGCATTGATTTTTCTGTAAACACCCCTCCCTGGTGTTGTGAATTGTGCTGGGTCTGCCTAGGTAGGAGTGAGTTGTCCTTACCTGATTACCTGAGGCAAATATCCAGGGCTAGTGCCTCTTCCTTGGCCAGCTTTACTGCATGGTCTGCAGGCATTTGAGTTTGCCATCTCAATTCCAGAACAACTAGGCTCAGGGCTTAGCTCTTTCTAACCCCCATGATAAGGTCCTAAGCAGACTTTCCGTCCTAGGTCTCACTGTTCCCCTGAACCGAGTGACCTCTTCAGCCCGTGGATGTCCAACACTCAGCAGAACTTTCTATTCTCCCTTCGAGAGATCATTGGTCACTCTCTTCTTCATTTTGTCACTTCTCTCCAAAACTAGACACAGGGTTCCTAGAGGGCACCGAGAGAACATGGAGAACAAGGGACTCCTGTGCTAACAAGTCATGTCTGTTCTTCAGGCCTCTTGTCTACTCTCAAGAGTCAGCAAGACATCAAGCTTCCTCCAGATGCTCTGGGGACTTGGGAGACTCCAGTGACCCCAGCCTGGCCTCCTGGGAATCTGACAGATTTGGCTGACAGATGCAGCTCTGCTCAGAGTGGGTGGCCTGCAGGCACTGGGTCAGGAGCGCCTCGGATAGGGGAAGTTCTCCTGCAGAGGGTGTCCTGGGGCTGAGTGGAGAGAAGAGCTGGTACAAGAGCCTAACAGGCAGTTCTTGGCCTGTGTGGTGTGCCAGACATTGGGATATGATTTGGGGAACCAGGGAGTGGGAGGATGCCTTTATTTTTTGAGGCAGGTAACTAGGGAATGAACTCAGGGGTACTTGACCATGCCACACCCCCAGCCCTGTGTTGTATTTTATTTAGAGACAGGGTCTCACTGAGTTGCTTAGTGCCTTGCTTTTGCTGAGGCTGGCTTTGAACTCGTGATTCTCTTGCCTCAGCCTCCTGAGATGCTAGGATTACAGGAGTGTGCCACCACTGTCTCAGGTTCGTCGTGTCAAATAAGAGACATAAGGTCAAGAGTATAGCAAGATGCCCCACAAAGCATAAATGCTCAATAAATATTAGCTGCTTCAATTTATTGTCATTATTGCTATTTGATAGGAGAACAGGATGGTGCTTGGAAGGCTTCTGCTGGTGCAGATGACGGGACTGAGGACCAAAGAGGAGAAAATGTGTCCATACTTGGGACCAGAGAACCAAGCTCCAGAGCCATGCCCTTGAAGAAAGGGATGTTGGCTGGTAAAGTCCAAAGGACAGTGCATGTCCCCAGGGGTCAGCTTCCCTGCATCTGGGTGGCCATTTCCCAAGGGTCCAAGAGAAAACATTACCAAGCGGAAGGTCCGCAGCACAGACAAGCTTCCCTTTTTGGCCACGCTCAGCTCCAGCAGGCTCACGGTGACGATGACACAGTCGAAGATATTCCACCTCTTCTGGAAGTAATAATAGGGGTCGAAGGCAATGATCTTGAAGACCATTTCAGCAGTAAAAAATATGGTAAAGACCTGCGGATGGAAACAAGTTGTCATCACAGTGGGGTCTCTGGGGTCAGGGGATAATGACAAAGGGACAATAGGGAAAATGTCTGGTTTACAGTGTAGTAAATCCTCTTATCTTTGTTTTATTCCGTTTCTGTTTTGTTTGCAGGCTCTTGAGGACGGGGGATGGCAACAATGTGGCAGAACATGGGAATTTTGGGGCTCACGCTCTGGTATGTGCATTAGAATTAGAAGGCAGGCCTCAGTTTTCATGTATGTATGGTGGCAGGGTGGAGCAAGTGGAGCATCGTAAGACAATATAACGATCTTATATAATTATGTCAATTCAGAGTCCAGCTTGGTTCAGTAGTTAAAAAGTGTGGGAGGGAAAAGCGAAGAATGTCCATTACTTGCCTAACGCCACAGCAATGCAACCATGTGGTACAAAGGGCATTTACCAAGTGCCCTCTGCAGGCAGGTAGATAAAAATCCCAACTCAGCGGGGCACGGGATGCATGCCTGTAATCCTAGTGGCCCCGGGAGGTTGAGGCAGGAGGATTGCAGGTTCAAAGCCAGCCTCAGAAAAAGCAAGGCACTAAGCGACTCAGTGAAACCCTGTCTCTAAATAAAATACAAAATAAGGCTGGGGATGTGGCTCAGTGATCGAGTGCCCCTGAGTTCAATCCCCAGTTACCAACCCCTCCAAAAAAAAAAAAAAAATCCCAATTCATCCATTTCTGGCTGTGTAAGCTTGGAGAGGTAATGCACTCTCTTTTTGTACCTCAATTTCTTCATCTGTGTAATGGGTGCAAAATGAGCTAATGCTTATGCAGTTGTTAGCAAAGGGCCTGGTGGGTTGGTAATTCCCTGATAAACAATAGTAATGAAGAACAATAATACAAAGCCTCTTAGATTCTTTTTGGCTCTGTGTTTTCTTTATTGCCTTAAATAGGATAGAATTCTGGCATTGAGAGAGGTCAGTGTCAGGCTCAGGTGGTAGAAGCCAGAAGGGAAGCAGATAATCAAGGAAGAAGGCAACAAAGGGTGCGGTGCAGTGGCTCCCCTGCACCCCTGCCTGTCTATTATCGGGGCCTTGTCTGGCCTGAGAAACCAGGGACCTGGGAAACCAGTGATCACATCCCTGTTCAAGAAGGGAAAAACTTAAGAATGTCTATTACTTGCCTAACGCCACAGCAGTGCAACCATGCAGTACAAAGGGCATTTACCAAGTGCCCTCTGCAGGCAGCACAGTGTGGGGAGTGGCCGTGGAGTGAGGTCCTGTGCTTTGGAGAGACCTGGCCAACTCTGCTTCTACTCTCACCAACTGTGCAACCTTGGGCAGGATACTTTTTCTCTCTGAGTCCTAGAGTTTTCTTTTGTAAGAATAATGAAAACCTCATGGTGTTGTGATGTTGAGTAACATTCCTAAAGCCTGGACTCATCAAAGGCACACCTTCCTTCCTTTTTTCTTCCTTTCTCTCTGAAAAATGATCCCAAATCCTGACACATGGGGAAAGGCCTTTTTTCTCTCTTGCCTCAACTTCTCCAGTGTAAAATCAGGGTGTGAATTCACATGTTGACTCCCTAAGGCTCTCTGTGGTCTCATATTGACTTCTTAGGGGGAAAAAGTGTTTCCTCCATTTCCATTTTCCCTTTTCATTGTCAACTTTAAATAGAATATAACCTCTTTTTTTTCGCGGGGGGGGGGGCGGGGCGGTACTGAGGATTGAATCCAGGGGCACTTAACCACTGAGCCATATCCCCAACACTTTTTTGTATTTTGTTTAGAGACAGGGTCTTGCCAGAGTTGCTTAGGGCCTTGCTAAGTTGCTGAGGCTGGCTTTGAACTTGTGATCCTCCTGCCTCAGCCTCCCGAGCTGCTGGGATTACAGGCGTGCAGCACTAGGTTATATTCCAATGTAATCCTTAGTTTAGGTGCTGCTCAAAGAGAGGGCACACACATGCCATAGTCTGCTGAAACCTACTGCAGCCCCCTTTACATCTGGGCTAAGGGGAAGGGACAGGTTTCCAAGGAAGTAGTCACACTCCTTCTGGAACCCCCTCTACCCTTTGGAGGGGTCAGAAGACACCTCAGGTCCTTGTAGACCTGGTAGGCCAACTCCAGGGGGCGGAGCCCAGCATAGACTGGAGTCAGGACCGGAATCCTTCCTACTGTCTGCTCAGCACACACAGTAGCAGGGCCTGCGGGGTGGGTTAGCCCATGGGTCGGAAAGTGTGGGCTTGGGAGCCAATCTGCTGTGTTCAGATCCTGGTGTTGCCACGAACTCATGCCTACATTTTAGGCAAATAATTTAATCTTCCCTGTCTCAGTTTTTTCCATCTGTGAAAGGGGATAATAATAGTTCCTACCACAGAGAGTTCTAGTGAAAAAGAAGTTGGATTAGCCTTGAAAAAAGCATCTGAGACCATGTCTTGCCCTGAATAAGTGTTCAAATAAAGTTAGCTATTAATATTCCTGTGAATCGAGCAAGGTCGGGGGCAGCTGTCTCCTTCTGAGTCAGCTACTTTATTCAGCATGCATTGAAACCCAGTACGGATTCTATCTTGTTAAAGCAAATCATGCTAAGGAGGTAATGGAGGAAAATTTACATTAGCATCATGTCTAAGCTCGCTGCAAGAGCAAAGTTCTGACTCCTTGATGCTTTGGCTACAACAGCACATGTTTTCTGTGTCCTCCCCCCCCACCCCCACTATCTTTCCCTTCCCTCCTCCACTCTTTCTGTCCCTCATTGACAACACTGAAAATTATAACCATAGAACCATGGTTCATAGGAGTCATACAAGTAATCAAAGAGGAAAGAAACTTACAAGTTCATAGATTGTCTTTCAATGAGAAAGTGACATTTGTCCTCATTTGAAGGTAGATCACTGAGATCCAGAGTATTCTAGTGGCTGATCTATGTGCTACAAAAAGGGAACCAGTTGTTTCTAGCTCAGGACTTTCTCCATCCACTTTCCTGTGTTTGCTCATCCCAAAGCAGTTCCCCCTTGTTCACCCTCGCTCCTCCAGATGTGACCTCCGGAAGCCAGTGTCCACACATCTCCTGCACTGCCACTGTGCCCTCAGCTAATGAGATCACCAACTACTGAAGGCATGCTCCCCGACCCCAGCCACGGCAGCCCGGCCGTCACTCACAATGTTGCCTATGTGGAGCATGGTTTCGAAGGCAGAGCTCATGCCGTGATGCTCCATGGCCATGAAGACTGTGTTCACCACGATGCAGAAAGTGATGGCGAGTTCTGCAAAGGGGTCTGTCACCAGCTCATAGAGCACTGTCTTGAGCTTCACCCATGTCGGGCAGCACTTCCAGATCAGATACTTCTGAGCCAAAGTGGTCAAGCAGGGTGGGCACCGCTGTTGAGAGTCCTCAAGTTCTGCAATATGGGTGAGATCAAGGATAGCTGTCAGCCATGGGTCACTTTAGAATCCCATCCTGTGGTCATGCCCTGACATTGCCATACTAATAACTACCACCTCCAAGATCTTGACTTCAGCCCTCCCTCTCCCTGATGATCATTTCCTGCTTATTGAGCTCCTACAGTCCTGTAACCACAACCCAATCGCTGCCCTATGGAGTCCTTCAAACAACTGGCCTTACACATTTTTACCGCCTAGTTCCAATGTCATGTTCTTACTCCTTAACTTCTTTTTTTTTTAGCTTACAATAAAAGCTTTCTTTTATTGATTGTTCTGCATATACGTATGTTAATAAAACAAAGTTAAAAAGATATTACAGTAGAAACATCAAAAATAATGAGTGATCTTTTTTAGTTCATTAATGTATTTTTAAAACGCTAGATGTACATATTGGTTTGCTGTATAAATGAATAATGTTGGTTTTTAGTTGTAGATGGACATAATAACTTTATTTTATTTTTATTTATTTTTATGTGAGGCTGAGGATAGAACCCAATGCCTCACATATGAAAGGCAAGCGCTCTACCACTGAGCCCCAACCCCAGCCCCAGAAATGAATAATGTTACAATTAAATAACAAATAACAACAAGGACAGCAATTAAAGTGAATAAACTTTTAAGGCCAAGACTCAAATCTGTAGAATATTGCAGGGATGAGTGAAAATTTGCCCTTACCAAACAAAAAATATTATACCTCATAGTGTTACTATTTTTTATTTGTATTAATTAGTTATACATGACAGTAGAATGCATTTTGACACATCATACATAAATGGAGCATAACTTCTCACTCTTCCAGCTGTACATGGTGTAGAATTACACTGGTCGTGTAATCATATGAGTACATAGGATAATAATGTGTGATTCATTCTACTATCCTCTCTACCCCCAACCCCCTTGCCTCCCTCCACTCCCCTCTGTCTAATCCAAAGTAATTCTATTCGCCCCTAGAACCACCCTGCATTGTGAACCAGCATCTTACTTCTCATCTTACCCAGCTAATTCTATCTCTACCTACTCCCTTATAGACACCCTCAATTGTACCTGCCTGGCAAACACCAACTCTAAATATAAACAAAATTTGTTGACTATTCTGCACTCACGCCCAACCAGCTGAACCTGGTCAGACAAAATATACAGCCTTGCTTACTGGTCACAGTGGAGGTCCTTGACTCCCAGCCTGTCCCTGCCTGGGAGTCCTGCTGGGTCTCTGTGTTTCAGCCCACTCCTCCAGCCTTCTAGGCCACTACTATTTCTTCCTCTCTCCTCTCTTTCAATCCCTAGCTCCTCACTTTCTGCTCCTGAGCTCCCTTTTATGTCACTCAAAATGCAAAACTGCTTACAGAGGAACTTCCTCTTCTTCCTGCTACTAGGTCTCCAAGGACTCAAGTCCACCCCAATTTCTTCCTTTCGCATCCCTCTGTGCCTCCTCCTCTCACCTGTGAGGGGCTCCTACCTCTCTTGCCTGCTGAAGCCCTGTGCTGTCCCCTTCTCTCCCTTCTGGACCGGCCCCATCAGCACGTGAACATGCTTCTACTGTATCTCAGCTTTGAAGACGGTCTCCCAGGGTCCTATGCTCTCCTTCATCTACTGAGTCCTTAGTAGCTTCTAAGAGTTTTCTCCACCTTCTCACCTGCTCTTCTCTCTACACACGCTGGAATCTGGCTTTTCCTCCCAAACGCAAACTGTTAATTTATAGCGCTCTTCTTATTTCACTACTCAGAGCATTTGACAGAATTTGTAATACTCTCCTTGAAACCTGGTGTCCATTTGGCTCCCAGAACATCATGATCTCTTGGGTTTTTTTTCCCACATCAGTGACCACTTCTTCTCAGTTTCTGATCCTGTCTCACTCTTCCTTTCCTGTCTTAAATGTGGGAGAACTCAAGAATTCTGTCGTTAGCCTGTTTTTTAATCCTCTCTCTAGGTGATTTCATTGAATCCTATGGCCTTAAAAAATGTCTATGCTGATCTTCCCAAATTATAATGTCTCTCCTGTGAACCCCAGGCTCATCTCTCTAGCTCCCTCTGTCAAATTTCTACTTGTATATGAAGAAATCAAAGGTCCGCCTTTATGAAGGGCAATTTGGGTTAATCTGTAAATTCCACCTTCTGGCACACACCCTGTAGATATACCAGCCCATGTGGGCAAAGAAGATGGTGTATTTTATTTATGATAATCATAAAAAATGAAATAAACAGTAAGGTGCATTATGAAAAAGGATGAAGCAGATTTGTGATGATGTAAAAAAAATCTTTATATGATTTTTATGATTCACTCTACTATCTTCCCTACCATATATTCCCTTGCCTCCCTTCACTCCCCTCTGTCTAATCCAAAGTACCTCTGTGTGTGGTGTGTGATGTGTGTGTGCGTGAGTGTGTGTGTGCTTATAAAAGCATAGAACATTGCCTGAAGGACTCAAGAGAGACTATAAAATGAGTTTATAGAAATAGTTGCATGCTCCCAAATTCTGCTAATGCCTCATTTGTAGTTAAAATTTTTGTGTGTAATTAGATTTAGCTGATAGTGCCTCCTTGGTAGTTAAAATTTTTGTGTGTAATTAGATTTATCATGTGTTTCCTCATGTGTTCTTCCTTTGCATATGAAGCCTTTCTCACTGTAAGGTTTAAAAAAAAACACTATCTGTGTTTCCTTCTTTCCTTTGTAGTTTTACTTTTTTTTTCATTTAAATCTTTGGTACATTTGTAGTTTATTTGGGGTAAGAACTAAGATATTGATCCAGTTCATTTTTCCCAATCTCTGCTTATTTGTATCAACAAAGATTCAAAATATCATTTGGTCACAAGTTTTTTTTTAATATATATACCCATATATTTTCATAAACGTGTCTATTTTTCTTCCATTGATCAAATTATTCATCTTCACTCTCATGCTGCTTTGATTACCTACTGTAGATTTTTGAAACTACAGATATCAAAACTAGCAGAGCAGAGTTCTGTAAAGAAGTTGGCACAACCTGGGAGCAAAATCAATAATCTCTATTTAGAACAGAAGTGGAGCTTCCCCAGACTATTTTGGCACTAAAAAAGAATCACAGGACATAGTACTGAGTGATGAAGCTTGCTGACATGCCATTTTGTCGGAAAGCAGCCTAACAGTGAGGCATCACAGGAGAAGAGACTCAGATTTGTGAGCAACATTTACATGGCTGATATGGATGCCTGAGAGATACAGAGACTAAAACAACCACATGCTTACTAGCTTGAAGCATGATTCCTTTCCTCTCCAGAAAAATCTTCAGAAAGAATTTCCCCCTGCTACAGTGAAAGAGGTGTCCTCTTCCTGATAATGGCCAATGTCTCCGCTTGTGCATACTCTCCTGGGACCTTAGGAATCTGTTGAACATCCCCTCTTCTCCCTTAATCTTCAGTCTCTCCCTTTCTCTCTGATCCTCCCCATCAACGTGTAAATATGCTCAAAACAAACAAATCCCCCAAATGTCCTTTAACTTTGCCCTCTCTCTAGTGTCACCTTACTCTCTCCTCCCCTTCCCAGGTAAACTTCCTGAAAAAATTGTCTGTAAACAATATCTCCATTTCTACCCCTCTCACTCATTCTTCAAGCCTCTTCAAGGTGGCCTCTGCCATTTGCTTTGCTCAGGTTGTCAAAGACATCCATGCAACTGAAGACCCAAGATGCCTTTCAGGTTTCATTGTACCTAAATAGCAATGCCTCTGTTCATTTTTCTACTAATCCTGAAGGAATTTAGACTCTTGGCTCTGCATTGTGTTCTGAGTCCTCTCTTATGCTGACCTTCCCTTCTTAGTCTCCTCTGTTACCTCCATCTCTCCTGCTTAACCATTAAACATTGTAATTTCTTAGAACTCTGTCCTGGGCTTATTTATCTTCTTACTTGATTCCCCTCTATGGCATCTTATCCTCTGTCATCTTTTCAAAATTACCATCTTGCTTCAAAGCTCTATCAAATATACATCTCTGGGCCACACTCTTCAAGGAATTTCTAGCACCATTTATCACAAAGCCAATTTCCTACTGGACATTTCTACTTGGATGTTCCAAAAACACCTGACAACCAACATGTCCCAGACTCAACTCCTAATCTCCCCAGCTTATGTTTTCCCAGTGAAGCTTCCTCCCCCACAAAGAGCTCCCTTCTTTGAGCGTTTGCACCTGCCGCCCTTCCATTGCTTACACTAGAACCATGTGCATTATCAGGACCTGAATCTTATGCTCCTTAGGTTGGTAAGCCTTCCATTTTCCATTGTCTCTGCTGCCACCACCCAGAGTCTGAGAATTGCAGTCTCCCACTTGGTTCCTCTTAACTGATTTCCCTGCCAATACCCTTCCCCTCCTAATTCCATTTTCTCCAAGTATCCAGAGTAACCTTTATAAATGCAAATGTAGCTCCCCTGCCTCCAGTCCTTTAGTGGCACCTTGCTGCTCTTAGGATGAAGTCCAATGTCTTTAATAAGGTCTAGGAGGTTCTGTAGACCTGGCACCAGCCCATCTCTCTAGACTTATTTGAGCCCCTCTCCTCCCTGATAGATGTGTTACAGCTACATTAGGCTTTTTATTTCAGCTTTAGGGTATTTCTGCCTGGAATACTTCCCTGACTCCAGGCTGAACTTATCTCCCTTCTCTTTGCATCCTGTGCTTCTCCTTCAAGACTCTCAGTACCCCACTAACAACTTGTTCCATGCCAATCTCTCCCGCCAAGCTCGAGGGCAGCTGTACTCACTGCTGTGATCCTGCTTCTGGTCTTTGGTTTGGACAATTGTCAAATCTCAGCTTGTATGCCAAGCCTAGACAACTCAAGTGCCTTGAGCTCAATGAATTGACAAACTCTTGGCCCAAACTTTCTCAGGTACCATTACTCCCAGAGAGGTGGCTTCTGTAAATCCTATGCTGACTATAACAGCATTCTTCATGAGTATAATGGAAGTAAAATCCAACCAAAGAAGGTCATGTGCCCAATGCTCTAGAATCTTTGACCTAACCTAGAAATATCATTGCTTCTCCTACTATTCCTAGCCTACTCTCACAGTCGGAGGCGATGTCTATCTTGCTCCAAGATGTCTGACTATTCCCAATTTTATTTTAGTTTTAGCAGTTCAGATAATTATAAATTTGGCACCACTCTCCAAATATCACCTTTGAGTACTACCCTCATTCATTCATTCATTCAACAGTTTTTTGTTGAGTGTCTACAATGCATAATGCGCTGCCTCTCAAAGTACTAGAGATTTCCTTTGAGCAAAATGGGCACATCTCTGCCCTCGAAGAGTTTGTGACCCAGTGAAGAGGAACCCACAGCTGAATATTACTATGCACTTGACCTGACTCATTTAATCCTCCCAAAGTACTGCAAGATGAGTGTATTTGAACTTTTTTACTGGTGAGAAAACTGAAGTACAGAGAAGTTAATGGAGCTCAAAGGTCACACCATTTTCCATAAATGGCAGGGCCACAATTCAAACCCAGGTGGTGGGGCTCCAAGTCTGGGTTCTAAGCTCTGTTGCCTCTCCTTCACCCTGAGAACATCTTCGGTCTTACTTAAATTGGGATGTGTTTGGGATGCATTTCACTCATGTCTCATTCCTGCTAATAGTATTGGCTGCTGATGACTGGAACTCTCTCCACGTTCTCACATGGCTGATTCCCTTACTTCTTTCTGATTTCTGGTCTCCTTAGGGAGAATGACCTTCCACAACCACTTATCAAAAATAGCCCCTACTCTTTGTCTCCTTCCTACTCTATTTTTTTCTCCTATTTCTCATCACTACCCAAATATCTATTTGTTTTGCATCTGTTCCTCCCTTACCCCCAGTGTGAGGGCTCCATGAGAGCAGGCTTCTATCTTGTTCACCACTGAATTCCAAGCACCTAGAACAATGCTGGACACATAACAGGTGCTCAACAATGTGTGTGATGAGTGAGTAAATATTACAGAGAGAGAGAGAAAGGGGATACTTCATAGTTCTGAGGAATAAATGAAAAGAAAGCTGTTTGCACTTTACATTTGCTTTTTGATGACTAATGGGAAGACAAAGGAAAAAAAATCCACCTGGCCAACAAAAAATTGAAGGCAAAGTAACATGGTGGAACTCTAAGCAGTCATGGAAAATGGTGGGAGTGCTCAGTATTACAGTAAAAAGTGATTATTAAATAATCATCAACAAGGAAAAATGATTTAAAGTTGGTAATCATTCTTAAAACCAAAGCTCAATTCCATCCATTTACCAGCAAATGCCATAATTTCATTCTTCTTTATATATAGTGTGTATATACCATATTTTCGTTATTCATTCATCTGTTGAAGGACACCTAGGTTGGTTCCATAGCTTAGCTATTGTGAATTGAGCTGTTATAAACATTGATGGGGCCGCATCACTGTAATATGCTGATTTTAAGTCCTGTTTTCTCTGATATATGAATGCTAAATTTAAAAAGGGTAGGTAGGGAGGGGAAGAATGGAAGTCCATTGGATTAGACAAAGGGGAATGAAGGAAAGGGAGGAGGGACGGGAATAGGAAGGACAGTAGAATTAATAAAACATAACTTTCCTATCCTTGAATTTGAAATACCTGACCAGGGTAACTCTGTATCATGTACAAACACAAGAATAGGATCCTAATTAGAATAAGTTACACTCCATGTATGTATAATACACCAAAATACACCCTATTGTTATGACTATTTAAAAAAACAAATAATTAAAAAGATTTTTAAAAAACCCAAAGCTCAGGCCTTCAAGAAACATGACTTAAAGGTCTCTCCCATCCCAGTAATTGAATCCAACTTAGACTTCAAGCTCCTAACCTGGGAACTTTCTTTTGGCTAATTCAATGCCTGGTGCTATTTCATTATCTCAGGTTGTTCTTGGGCTTTGGGAGTTCAAGTTTGGTGGTACACTGAGCTGTTCCTCAGTCAATGCTAAATGTATTTTAAATGTATTTTACTGGAATTTGAGTTCCAATGTAATCTCTGAGGGGACAATCCCTGCAGGTGGTTCTTTGCCCTTTCCTCTCCACCTTTCCTGTTTGGCTTTCACTTATCCCCTTCCGTAGCCTTCATGGGTGGTGAAGTGACTGTTCCACCACTCTGCTGCCATTCTGGAGACCTCTGAAGGCCTGAGGTCTTCTCCACCAGGTATGTTACTCTACAGTTTCCATGTCATGATGAGCGTATGGATCTGTCTCTAGGCCTTGCCACCTCTGGCTTCACCCAGAAAGTAAAATGCAGATGGGCTCTGGTTTCAGATCCTTCAAAGAGTTTCTGCTGCTCACTACACCCTACCTTGAAATGAAGCTCTAGCCGAGGGCTGCAAGGAAGTTACACTGGGTCCCTTCTCAGCAGCACATCAACATCAGTGTCCCTTGGCATCCGCTAGACCTAAGCAACTTAGTGTTTCTAGGGCAGATACATAAGTGGATATAACTAGAACAATACTCTCCATACCTTGAAGTAAAACAAAGGTTGGATTAAAACAACCTCATACCCGGCATGAGGAAGATGTAGCCACAAATACGGAAACTTGTGTGAACTGGAGTCATGAGCCAATGCCACCCCCGTCTCCTCCTCCTCCCCTTGACTAGGTGTAACCAGCTAGAACTTAGACACATCCCTGAGGATACTGAGTGGATTCACAGTTGATTGGCAGAACCCAGAATTGACAGGGATTTAGAGAAGTGAACCGATTAATTTACTTAAATTATCTTTCAATATTCAGCATAATGGGGACTTGCGACAGAAATCAAGTTACCACTGTGAAAGTTATAGCCACGAAAAGCATGAGGGTAATTTTGCCATGCTAGGAAATTAAAGACTGCTAAATCTTTTGCACACCTGAGAGGTGACTTTAAATTCTCTGGGGCCTGCCCAATTACTTCTTTGAAAATCTAGTTTTGTGAATACATATGAAGGAGAAGCTAATTTGAACAAGAGATGAACGAGGGCATTTCGTTTATTGGATTCTTTTGCTTTGAAAAATTATGCACATAAGAACTACATTAGCAAAGGAGGATGGTCTTGAGGCATAAGAGAGAGTACACAGGTGAGACTTATCACTGCACGGTGGATGTTTGTCCAGAGTGCAACACTTACCCTCGATGACAGAGGTCATGATACTGACCACACTCATTGCTCTTTGGACTCTGAAAGGTTCATTCAAATATTCTGCTGACAATAAAGTTTTCTTCTGTCCTGCATCGAATGCCTGCTGAGACACAAACAGATAGGATACTCCCCCCAGCCTGAAGTCTTCAACAGCAAAGAACATCACCCAAGCCTCCTCCTGGCCAGTCTCCCATGGCTAAGATGCTCTGGGAAACCATAATCCTTTGCAGACAGCCTTGGAGAAACAGGGCTGGCCCTTGAGTTTGGGGGAAGAACTCAGGCATGAACACCAGGGCATAGAGGTGGGATGGAACCAGAGTGCAGGTTGGAGGCCAGTGGGGTGACTTGGATTCACCTGAGACTCTGCAAACTCCTTTTCCTAGGATGGGACTTGGACATCCCAGTGGTGATGGGGTTGCCTCTGAGGTCTCTGAGATTACTATCAAAGGGAGCTAAAAGCTGCAGAGGCAGTGGGCCAGGAAGTGGCCCTCTGGGAACTGCCCTCTGGGCAGTGCATATGACATTTACATGGAACTCTTACTCCACAGTGAAATTTCCTGACCTCCCTTCTAATAGACCCATTTCCTTCCCCAGCACACAACCCACTTCCAATTCCACATAGTCTCTTTCTTTCTTCAGGGAGCATGTTTGTGTCTTGATTGCCTATCTGTTAGTTTTCTTTAATAGACTGAATGTTTGTGCTCTCCTACCCCAAGTTCATATTGAAATGGTATTAGGAGGTGGAGGCTTCAGGAAGTGATTAAGTCCCAAAGGTGGAGCCCTCACGAATGAGATTCATGACATTATAAAAGAGACTCCAGAGAGCTCTCTCACTTCTCCCACCCTGTCAGGACACAGCAAGAAAGTGCCATTTAGAGTCAGGAAGGTGGCCCTCACCAGACACGGAATCTGCAGGTGCTTTGACCTTGAACTTCCTGTCCTTCAGAACAGTGAAAAATGAATTTTTGTCACTTATTTGCCACCCATCCTGTTCTAAGAGGCCGGACAGACATTGTCTATCACAATCTTTTTGACCGTTTCCTCTTTAAACCTTCATTGGAGGTTCTGCCTGTGTTCTCCACCAGAGCCACAACTATAGTCATACACAGACTCTGGACATGGAGAGTTCAAGGTCCACAACAGCTGACAGCTCTGCACAAAACTTTCAGAGTCCATAGTCAACAAGCATTTATGGAATGCTTATCACAGGTGAAGCCCATAGGAATGTAGTTAACAATAAATACGAAATTTAGACAGTTTCCAATCCCGAGGGCTCGGCAAATGATACTAGCAGCTATGCCTATTAGTCAGCCATGTATATAAATGTAGACACTTTATTATTTCACTGAACTCTCCAATTCATTAGGAAGCTTTTTACAAGGGGAGATGAGAAGGCAAGAAGAACAGAGGGACTTGCTAAAGGTGATTCAGCTGGTAAATGGCATAGCTGGGACTGCCACCCAGGTCCTTGCAACGTGGAAGGATTTAAAGAGTTAATCTGGCACTAGCTGAATAATTTAACTAGAATGAATCAAGGTTAGAACACTATTACTCTCCACCTCCCTGCCCTGCTCTGTGTCCAGGGAGGGCAACCTGTACAAAAATGCCTCACCCTTACCCTCTGGTTCTGTTCAGGCTTGGCCAGTGGGAGGTACAAATAGGACATTAGAGAATGAAAAGAAAGAGAAGTCAGGTATTTGTCCCCTGACTTCTTCCTGCTGGGCTATGGCTGGGCAGCAGCTGTGATTCTCTCTCTAGGATGGCAGGTTCTATTCCACAGCCTCTGACACACAGCTGCAGCTCTTGATAGGTTCTGATTCTGCTCTTTTCCTTCTCTCTTTCAGCCCAGGTATGTAATAGCTCCCCACTGTTGCTCATCTCCAGTGCCTTCCTTATCAGTTCCCGCAACCCAGCCCACACCTTTCTACGTACTTTTCTAAAATCTTTCCATTTTGCCACTGGAGTGACCGTCTTGCTTCTTGCTGGGACTCAGAATCATATGGCATCTCATCAGACTGAGTTAACACATCTCAGTTCTTAATACTCACTCAAGTCAATAGAACCATATAATGACCTCTTGACAAGTCTGTTTGCAAATTGCTCTGTATCTCTAGCTAGCCACAGAGGGCACATGAAAAACACTAGAAGCATCTTTACTGAAACTGGATGGAGAGCACAAATTAAATCACAGCTCTAATCCAGTGAGTAGTCCCTGATTTACCATTAAATCTGTAATTATTCTATTAAAGAGTGCTAGACATTTAGTCACTGTTGTCTAATTTGTGCATTTTGTTTAGTTATTTCTTCTGTGAGTCAAGCAAGGGACACTTCATTTCTACTGAAGTCTGTCCTGAGAACCTCCCAGAATTTTTCTGGGTCTCATTTGCCAAGTCTTGGGTAATTTGCATATAACCAGAGACAAGTGCAGAAGGGCCCTGGGTTTTTCTCATACCTCATGCCCCTAGCAAGAAAATGGGATGGTCTCCAGAGCAGTGATGGTGAGTGGGGACAGAAACAATGAGAGGAAATATGAAGACAAATGGAAAATAATTGGTATCACTTCTCTGCACAGTAAGCCAGGAAATTTCTTTGACCTCAGGTAAACTCAGGTAAACTCAGTTGCTCTGAGTTTACCATGTCAAATGGGAGTCAGATGGGAGGCAGAATGGTTCAAGGACCTCTCCACTGGTGGCACTCAGGGCTTCTTGGCCAAAGGCCTCTGGCTTGAGAGAGGTGGCTTTGAGACAGTCTAGATCATGCACAAACTCACCGGGACTTCTGTGGCTCCAGGGACCAGCTCACTAGTGGTCAGCATTGGGTGTCCCTCTTCTCCATGCCCAGAGCCAAGGCTGGGAGTTTGAGACAGTGGGCCTGGCGGTCCAACAACCTTGCTCAGCAGCAGAGAACCCCGTCGGCTCTCATGGTCTCCATGAAAGACTCCATCATCTGTGATCCCATCGTGGAATGAGACATCTTGGCCAGGGGCTCGGAAATGAAACACACTGCCATGGCTAGCCCGACGCCTTCCAGAAGCAAGGCCTAGGAAAGACTGGGCATTGCCCCAGAAGAGCAGGAAAGAAGGTGGGCTGGAGGCTGGTCCTCCAGCAAATCTAGAGCACACTTCCCTCCACCCACTTCCTCTTCCTGACCCTATTCTCATGACCTTCCAGTAGCTAAATAATGACACAGATCTGAAGTGTAGACAGGTGGAGTGGACAGGGGAAAGGATATTCTAAACAGACTCAGGGAAAGGCCAGGAGAGAGGAGAGGTTATGAGTGCTGAAGATCAGCTAACAGGTCATTATGGCCAAGATCAGAGGACAACCTTGCATTGGATGGATGGGTCAGCTGTTTGCCAAACTTTGACCATAGAGCTGGACAAAACTGCTTAAGTTCCCTCCTCTACATGCAAAGCTGTGATCTAAGAAGACTCTATTATGCACACCAGGACGGGCACATGCTTGGAAAGTGGTTGTTGAATGGACAAGTGCACTCTATTGTCTGGAAATTAGGTTGTACAATTCATTACATTTTGTCTGTAAGAGAGTGAGAGTTTGTATTGCAAAGGAGACAAGAGCTTTATAGCGTAATGAGTTTCCAGGATCCCTCGAGGCAAGCTTTGAACAGTCAACAATGGGAGGATTGAAGGAAGAGTTGCAGCCTAATTTCCTGGAAGAATAATGCCATTCTTCCAAATCAATAAACATTTCCCATCAAAATCTCCCACTGAGAGAACTGTGTGGCTTACAGGTTCCAGAGGAAAAGAGCTAGTTCATAGGCCTGGAAACCCCAGAAAGTTAGTGCGTGAGTTAGCCAGGTCTCATGACCACTGTGGGAACCTGACCACAATAAGCGCTGGGTCCTGTCCTTGGATCATACATAGTATTTCTGAAATCTAAACATTGATTCCCTATTTTGATCATACTGCTCAGCTCCTCCCATCCTTAATTCCTTTTATTTATTTATTTTTATTTAAAATTTTTTTTAGTTGTAGATAAACACAATACCTTTTATTTTATTTATTTCTTTTTATGTGGTGCCGAAGATCAAAACCAGTGCCTCACACGTGCTAGGCAAGTGCTCTACCACTAAGCTACAACCCCAATCCTCCTTTTATTTATTAAACCACAAAAGTTGAATATCTTGCCAATTGGTTTTCCTCGCATCTCTCCTTATTCCACAAAACTGAAGTTTTTCCTTTCTTGATGATTTGGAGCCTGATCTTATTCAACAACCATCATTGCAAGCACAGTATTATAACTTGAACATTCTTTGCTTAGAACACATGGCCAAGGACCCTAGAACTCAAAAAAATCCATGAATCTGTCCCACTTTGAAGAAAAGGTGAACAACTGAGCAATTCATATTTAAAAATGGGAAAACTGACTTATTTGTACTCAGACAATAGGTACAAATCAATCAAGAAAAAGAAAACATTTAGATCTAGTATTTGACAGTCAGTGCCTGCTTGGCTACCATTTATTTCAGAATTAACCTATTTGGTAAATTGTGGGCAATGACCTTTGAGTCTAATCATTGGTATTGCCTTAAAGTGCATCAATCAAACAGGTCAACTAGTCTTTTGCATGTTCCTGAAAATCCCTATAATCTCTCCTGCCTTATCCCCAATCCCTATCTCATCACTCCTGGTCAGAAAAATGGCTTTATATAAAAGCTGTCTAAGGTCTATATTCCAGATGTCCATGTCTGGGAAAAGAGGAAGGGATGCATTCTTGTAATGGACCCCAACCAACCAGTTTGCATGCAAGAAGGCCCCACATACTTTCCCCCTGTCTTTGTTCATACATGTTCTTTTTGTCTGGAGAATATCCTCCCAAGTCCTCCCACACCTTCAATTACTGAAAGAACCTTATATACTCTTTGCTGTTCACTTCACTTTTTCCTTCTCCAGGAGGCCTTTCCTGACACACATCTACCCCCATATGAGAGGAAGTCTCTTCATTTATGTCTAAAACACCACATATATGCCTCTACTAGAGTACTTAACACATAAGCTGTTTTTATATCTGCCTCCTCCACCCAATGGAAGTCCTTGGGAAAGAGGCCATGTTTTATTTCTGTCTACAGAACTAAATACACCAAGCACCCAGTATTCTTGAATGAACAAGACACAGTCTCTCTATTTTTTCCTTAAGCAGGTAAATCTAAGTGGAGAGACAAGTGCATACATCAAACAATTCTTGGACATCCAAATGCTAATCTGTGTGGGGCTGAGTGAATGGGAGAAATTAAAGCCCAATTCAGAGTGTCATTGACATTTCCTTGGAAGCTGTGATTCATCCTGCTCTGTGATTGTCAGAGCTCTCGTCAAATTTCCTTTGAAACATCATCTGAACTGTGCCCTGTGCATGGCAGGTGCTGCTCAAAAAAGGCAGAGCAAGGAATAAAGGGGCACAGATGCAGATAAATTCTTCAGTGTGGGTATGTTACTAGGGTCAGAGTTCATAAAAGTGTGTCTGTGTATGTATGTGTGCACACACATCTCGGGGTTGGAAATGGTGTTACAGAAAAGTAGAACGTCCTTTAAATGAGAGAGATCAAGAAGAGAGATTGAGAGGGCAGGATGCCTGAAGAATAGCCATGTTTATCGCCCTTTCCACACTATTAGTGTGGTGACTACCCTTCCATAAAAGGAATATTATGGCTCAGGCCTATGGAAAGCGAATACATTTTGTACACTGGATTTTCAAGGGACAGGGATGTGGTGGGAGGAAGCCTGGTGAGGACTTAGAGGGGGGGACCTTGGAGTAGGAGCTAAATATTCAAATGAGGGTAGAATTGCTAAAGGGAATAAGGTGAGATTCTGACATTATTCCTGGACTGGACAGTGTCACGGAAATGGGCTCTGGGATCTTCCATGCCAACAATAGGTAACAACTGTAGCTGCAGGCCCGGAAGTATGAGGTGGGAAAGACAGTTGTGAATGGTTTCAGCACCAAGGACAGAGACCGCCTGCCCCCCTCAGGAGCTGCAGATCAGAGCGTCCAGGGAAGCTGACCTTTGATGTTCCCAAACATTTCAAGGTCAGCAGGTCCAACATGGGCTCCCTGCCTTCCTTACAACCCTGGATCCTTCCTCCAGTGCCCCTGCTTTAGAACCACCACTCAGTTAACTAAAGATGACTCCTGAAACTCTGGAATGATCTTGGATTCCTCTTTTTCTACATCCCCCAATCCCAATCTTGTTGGTCCCTTCCTTTCAGAAAGATCCCTGTAACTTACCTCTTTCCCTATCTAACATGCCTCTGTCCTCATTTAGGCCACCATTGGGATGGAGCGTCTGGATTACTAAAACATCCTCCTGATCTCTGTGCCTCTGGCTTTCTCCCTGCTACAGACTTTTCCCCATGTCAACCCACTGTCCATAGCAGCTGGCAAGGTGGGGCATCTTTAAGATGCAAACCAGAGCCCCTTACCATCCTGCGCTGGTTGTAAGTCTCAGATTGGGGTGATCTGTTGTCATCTGTGGAGCAGTCCGACACTCTTGATTTCATTCTGTGCTTTCTCTCACTGGCATTTTTGGAGGCTAAAGGTGATCCATTGTGGGAATGGAGAGAGGCTGTGTCAATCCCCAGTGCTGTCAGCACCTGAGGAGAAAGAACAGCAGCTTCACCCAGCAGGATCTGGTGGGCTTAGAACAAATGTGTCCCCCTGACATGGAGTGTCACAGGGATGGGGGATTTGAGACTGAGGAGGTTAAGGGTTAGGATCAAGGCGGTGGTGAGATTGAGACACAAAAGAAACATCCACCTCTGGGTCACCTCCCTTCCTCAGACCCTGCAGTCGACTCTTGGTGCCCCATTCAGTCCTTTTTACAAGGTTTGTATACCTGTCCCTAGCTGTTTGTGGCGGCTGTTAATGCACACACCTACATCATGGAGAAAAACTCCATAGGTTTCCTTCAGTGGTGCAGATATGGGGGTACAAAAGGCCCAGCCACTTGCCTCAAGGAGGGGCTAACTTTGTGGTACAAATCATGCTCCAGAGCTCTCCATGGACTCAGACTGAAGCTAGTCTTGGGTTGAGACCACTTCATTGTTTAGTTCTGTTCCCACTCCACCCTGCTTCCTTCATTCCACTTCTCCTGAGAAGACTCCCAGAATAAATTACTTGTATCAGAATCCTCATTCAGGTCCTCTTTTTGGAGAAAAACTTCACTAAACAATCCCTGAGGTAAGAGGCATCCTCTTGCAGTTACCTAGAATGGCAGCTTATTCTAAGTGAAACTTGGTAATTTGTAAGTGAATCTAATTCAGACTCTATCCAAGAATATACACTGTGCTATTGTGTTCACAAAGCATTTTTGTGTGTGTGTGCCAGAGATTGAACTCAGGGGCACTCGACCACTGAGTCCCATCCCCAGCCCTCTTCTGTATTTTATTTAGAGACAGGGTCTCACTGAGTTGCTTAGTGCCTTGCTTTCGCTGAGGCTGGCTTTGGAACTCGAGATCCTCCTGCCTCAGCCTCTCAAGTCATTGGGATGACAGGCATGTGCCCGGCACTCATAAAGTTTTTGACCCTTACAAACCAACCTCCTGCTCCTTCCGGAGCATCTCCAGGGCCTCCTGGAACTTCTTCTCCTTTGCTTCAATTTCAGCAATTGTTGCTTGGTTCTGTTCCTCGTACGCCATGGTGACCACAGCCAGGATCAAGTTGACTAGGTAGAAAGATCCCAGGAAGATGACCAGCACAAAAAAGACCATATAAATTTTCCCAGAAGCTCTGAGAGTCTGCAGATTCAAGGTAAAGAAGAGAGACCTGTACTCATAGCCCGTAGGTCCCTGAGGTTAGGTGAGGATCCTCCAGGAGCAGTATAGCCATGCAGTGTACCCACCAGCCTCCAGCTTAGTCTGTGTGGAGACATGCAGATCAATACCTGCTGGTAGAGGCGTTCCCAGGAATCCTGTGTCATGAGGCGGAACAGTGAGAGGAAAGCCCAAGCAAAGGAATCAAAGCTGGTATAGTTAAAATCTGGGTTTTCAGAAGTTTTAAGGCAGATGGAACCAACAGGGCAGTGGCTGCAGCAAGAACAGAGAAGGTCATTGATTGTGCAGCCCTGCTTCTTGGGGCTGCAGGGAAATCACGGGGTTTGAAGTCAGAGGTCAGAGTCAAAGGCCAGGCCTTCTTCTTATTAGCTGGGTGACTCTTTTTAAAATGTTATTGGTTCTTTTTAGTTACCCATGATAGCAGAGTCCATTCTGATATAATTATACAATTGTGGAATATACCTTATTCTAATTGGGATGCCAGTCCTATGGTGACATTCACTGGAGTGCATTCATACATGAACCTAGGAAAGTATGCCAGATTCATTCCACTGTCTTTCCTATTCCTATCCCTCTTCCCTTCTTTTTTCATTCTCCCTTGTCTATTCCACTGAATTTCTTTTCTTTTTAATTCTTTTTTTGTTATATTTTTTTATTTTTTAGGTGTAGATGGACACAACACAATGCATTTTATTTTTATGTGGTGCTGAGGATTGAACCCGGGTCCTGCCCGTGCTAGGCGAGCGCTCTACCGCTGAGCCACAACCCCAGCCCCTCCACTGAATTTCTAATCTCCCCCTCCCTAATTGTGGGTTAACTGCCACATATCAGAGAAACTAATCTATCTTTTCTTTTTGTGTGTGTGTGGTGGCAGGGGTTGGGGGGCGGATAATTGGCTTATTTCACTTAGTATGGTAGTCTCCAGATCCAAGCTGAATGATTTTGGACACTTAGTATCTTTAGGATTCAGTTTCTCTCATCCCTAAAATGGAGATGCTAGTTCTTTTACTCCAGAATTTTATGTCTAGGGGAGTATCCTGGGAAGGCCAGATGACTGCCCAGACCTGATTCCATAAGGTGTCAAGTTCTTTGCCAGTTCATACCAGGATAAGGAGATTCCGTAGTAATAATGCAGAATGTAGTCATGAGTCTGTTGGCATTGTCTGCACGGCTGTCTATCAAAGGAAGACTGACCAATTATAGATAACAATAAAAACAGCACTTTCCATTTGCTTTGCTAACACTGCAATTTGTTCATCTCAATAATCCTTCTTTACAGATGAGGAAGGTGGGGCTCAGAGAAAAATCAGTTGGCTAAATCCACAAAGGTGCCAGCATATTCATTAGAGAGGAGAAATGTAGCCATAAAGGAGCCCAATACTTAAGCCAGCTCAGTCTCCTCCTGAAGATGGAGAGGCTGATGGCTACTTGGTGAGAGCTGGGGTGGGTGTGCTAGACTTTTATATATATATATATACACACACACACACACACACACACACACACAGGTGGATAGATGAAAAGAAGTATCTCTCAGCTCAGGACATGTGAGTAGCTCCCGTCCACCCCAGTGGGGATGGCCTGATCAGGGGCACAGTAGCAGAAACCTTGTGTGAACTACAAGATTCTTTTACTCCTGGGTGACATGCCCAGCACCAACCTCAGGGATTCTCCTTACTTCAGACATCCATGTGAACACATAGCTTCAAGACTCACTGAATTGATTAGAATGCTAGTAAATTAATTACCATCAATTCCTGTTCGATCTCCATTGTGAGATTTGCAAGTTCCCTGACTCTGCAGACCCACATTTAAAGGCAGTCTCTTGGGTTGTTCTTCCAAGGAGGTAGTTTTCTAATGAACTCTGAGGACGGGCTTATTTCTAGGTCTTCTGTACGACCTCACCCTCGTCACTCTACATCGACAGCTTACCGCTCAGTGTAGCAACAGTTAACTGATCTGAGGATTCAACGAGACCATGGGGCACAGTCTCTTGCACAGTGCCTTTCGCATATTAAATATTATATTTAAAATGCAAATTAAAATTCTGGCTATTGGGAGCTTCCAAAAGGAGGGACTGGAATAGCACAAGTGAAAGAATGCTGAAACTCCTCAGGTATTGCAGTACTCATTCTCCACCTTGAGACCCCAGATTTTCCTCCCATGGTGCCCTTGATCCATGGAGGACTTTACTCAGGACCCTGGCTCTTCTGTGGCCCAGCATCAGACCCAGGTTTGGTGTTCACAGCAGGCTCCCTCGGGGCTCACTGTGCTATCGTTTGGAGCTGACCTGTCAACTAACTTCCAAGCTGGGTCCATTCCTCCACTGCCTGGTTTGGACCTGCCCAGGAGGAGGTCTGGCTTCTCTGTGAGCTAAGGAGGGAGGCATAGATGGACCCCTTACAACTTTATAATGGGAAAGTACTTGGATTGCTCTGGAGCTACTGCCTTGAGAAATGCCATCATCTAGACATGAAAGGGACATTGGAGGTGGGGGGCTTGGTTTAAATCCAAAGGAAAATGGAGATTGACATCAAAACAACCACCCTCCCTGAGCCAGAGACTCAAATGCCAAGTGCATTTGTAAGGACAGAAACCAAGGAATCGGATGTGGACTAAATTCTCTCTCTTGTCCTCTCCCCTCAGCTCTATCTGAGATTATTTTCCTAGTGAGCTGATTAAGGTAGAGCCTTATAGGTCCTGTCCAGCTCCACTTGGGCAATGGGGAGCTGTCAGATGATCAGGGAGTGACGGCACTGTGAGTGTGGATCTTCCAGGCTCACAGATATGGAGGCGGGAGAGAGGGACCTGACCTTTCTGACCTGCTGCATGAATCTTTTCTGCTCATGTCTCACTCCAGAGGCCCAGAAGCCAAAGCATGAGGCAGAACCGAGGGATGCTCACCCCTTAGCTTCATCTCACTTTCTGTTCTGCCACCTGGAATGGTCCCCATCCAAGCATCTCTTGGAAACCCCACCTGGAAGCATCCTACTGCAACTTGACTATTCAACCACTACCTCCAGGAAGCCTTCTCTGAACTGCATCCCCTGGCACCTCACTGTCTTTCCCCAGCCCACGGAGCCTGTAGCTCAGCACTTGTTCTCCACAGTGCAACATTTTTTGTGTGTGTGTGCATGAGAAATAAAACACCAACCCCCCCCCCCCCCCCCGCAAGGGAAAAAGGGGGGGAGATGCCCCGGCAGCTTACAAGCTGAATTTAGCATATAGACATATTTTGTTTGGTCAACACAATATGTAGACATTTTGGGGAACGAGTAACCAAGTTTATAGTCGGGGAATTTCACTTAAAAAAATCAAAATTTCCTGTCTTTCTTTAAAAGTGAAGAGAGCTCAAAGCAGTGGGCCCACATTTCCACATGGCAACCACAGGCTAGAGTGAGCAATGACTGTTCCCTTAGATGGGGAATGAACTCCCAGTTGCTATGGTTCCCTCCTGGCTTGCTCTACTCATTTGTTGTTATGTGTCTGACCTCTGAAGAAATTTGAAATTGCAAAGTGTTATGCATGTGTTTCTTCCTCTAGTATGCAAGAATAATGAAACCCATATAATGGAGTTAGCTGTGATAGTTAAATGCAGAGCATTTGATATAAATATACTTAATAAATATTAATTTCTTCCTGGAGTAGGACATTTTCAAAATGACTATAATTCTCCCCCTTTCACTATCTTATCTCACCCCTTTGCAATATGACTTTGCAGCTCTTTCCTTGAGCCATAAAGTCTATTTCCTCACCCCTTGGATCTGTACTGGTTTGTGACTTGCTTTGGTCAATAGAATACAGAAAGTGTGACATCATACCAGTTTTAAGTCTAGACTTCAAGAGGTCTTTCACACTTCTACTATTTCTCTTGGAACTCTGGTCCTGCATGAGAACAGGCTCAGGCTAGACTGCTGGGGAATGAAAAAATCACACATAGAGGACAGGTATTCAAGATCAGCTGCCTTGCTATTGATCTGTCCACTGCCTGCATGAATGAATCTATTCAGTGCCACCTGATCTTAGCCCAAAATGCTGATGCATAGAATCATGAGCTAAATAAATGGTAACTGTTTTAAGTCATAAAATCTGGGGGTTGTTTGTTACATGGCAAAAGTTAACTTGTACACTTCTCTATTTTTTTCCTCCAAAAAGAAAAAAAAAAGTATTTCCTGCAATTTCAGAATCCTAAGCAATCACTCCACCTAATTCCTATTCATACTGATTAGGTAGAGTTGATTAGGTAGGTAGTTATTCAGTATAGTTGATCTAGTATAAGCAGTTGGTTCTGATGATTTTTAAAATTTGTTCTAATTAGTTATACATGATAATAGAATGCATTTTGACACATTGTACACAAATGGAGCACAATTTCTCATTCATCTGGCTGGACATGGTGCAGAGTCACACCAGTAGGGTAATCATACATATATACAGGGTAATGATGTCTGTCTCATTCTACCACCCTTCCTATCCCCACAATCCCCCGCTCCCCTCACTCCCCTCTACACTATTTCCATGAAGTCTAGGATGGCAAAGACCATGACTCATCCATCTTCCTCACAACCTTCGACCCAGACTGCTGGGCTTTGGGGCTGTCATGGGAGGGTACTCACCCTGCATCAGATCCATTGCCACACAGTAAAGGATCAGAAGTGCCTGGCTTAATAACATACGATACATCTGCCAAAGAAAGGAAGAAATAAAAGCCTTACATATACGATTCTGAATCCTCTGACATAGGCCTATATAGCAAACACAACACTTTCTAAATAATCTCTCTGAGTGGAGGTGAGCTCCCTCAGCTGCATATACTCAATGGGCACTCAGCTGACATCCTGAGCCATGAAGAAGGTGTGAAGCCCCTTCCAAGAAGGGTTGATCAGAGACTTCAGCTCTAAGTCCTCCCAGCACAGTCAGAATGACTTGCTTCTGGATTTAAAGCTAATTTCCTTGCAAAAGGGATGCTGAGCAACAAGCAACGGTGACCCCAAAGTGAAACAACTCTGAGGAATCAAACCATACGTCTACACAGATCTGCAGGGGCCTCCCCCTCCCCCTTGTCCCTATGTCCATGTGGTCCTGCTGTCCCAACCAGGCCTGATCTCCATGATAGAAAACCCACTCACGTGTTCTGTGAGATGAGTAATTAGAGGTGTCATCTGGAGCTGTGTCATTCCTGACACACTTGTTCTTGAGGTTACCCTTGAAGAGCTGCAGGCCCACCAGGGCGAAGACACTCAGGCAGAAGACGGTGAGGATGGTCACATCAGCCAGTTTCCTCACCGAGTGGATCAGGGCTCCTACAATGACCTTCAGCCCTGCAGGAGGATGAACGTGATACTCCATGTGAATGAGGCACCCCACAGGACACAGACATGCTGCTGAGCCATCCTCCCCACTCTCTCCTTATAGGTGTGAAGTGTTTATAAATTCCAGGGCAGATCCAAGCCCAGCTTCTCATCTGGACCTTGCAATAGCCGTGAGAGACAGGCGAGCAGGGGCTATTATTCTCATTATAAAGATAAGCAATCGAGTACTAGGCAATGCATTTCTTATCATCTCAGGGCTAATAAATTTCTGATACAAGCAATTCCATTTTAAAAATTGCTGAATAACCACTATGTTCTCCTGTGAGGTTACTCACTTATCTCCAGTCTGTGGCATCGTTCAGTGCTCATCTTAGTATCTCTGTTCTAGAGAGAGGCAGTTCAAGGCATGGGACTCATGAATCTCAGTGTGTGTGTGTGTGTGTGTGTGTGTGTGTGTGTGTGTGTGT